TGTGGTTTAGAACAGGATGGCGTTTGATCACAGCAGAATTTAACTATCTCCGGTAGAATTCTGATCAGGCATTAGCTCCGCCTCCTCTTTTTTTTTTTTTTAAACTAAGGACCCAAAATCCGCGTTTCTCTAACAGAGCTGGAATAGAGTTCCACAGTGACGCGTCCTAAAACCCGGAAGTAAACTCCTTCCGGTTCCTTCGTCAAAAACGCAATGCACTTTCTCCATAGGATTTAGGAAAATAGCTGGAAATAAGGTCTGTGGTTGAGACACATTGAAGAGACGGATCACGTTTTGTTCAGCCGGATAATCTCCACATGTCTACCCTACTTTTATAATTTTCGAATCATAAATCTAGTCACCAGAAGCAAAATGCTAACGTTATGCTATAAAGGAACTACAGTAGGGTCGCTGCTTCAACGTCACGCCAACTTCAGATCCATATTCAAACATACAGATTCTAAATGGTACAAGTTGAAGCGTTTGTTTGAACAGTTAGCAGGAGGCAGGGACTTGCTTTCAAGCAGAACAGGGCAAACAAACTTAGAGGAGTGTTTACGTGTTCGGTGTAATGACTGAAGTAAAAAGATATGATTCTACACTGTATTGAAGTAAACATGTATTGTTTGAACTGTTTTAGGTAATCACAAACGGGTTTTGATAAGTCACTTAGAATAGGAATGTTATTCTTACTTTCAAACTCACTGATCCAGAGATTCTGTGTTTCAACACACCAACATCGTTCTTATCATCCATAAAAGCCAGATGCGGTTGTTAAGTCATTAAAGACATCGTTAAATAGGTGGAGAAGAGTTTAAATGTCTGAAGGAGGATAGTTTAGGTGAAAATATCCCCTGGGAAAGGAATGTAGAGTAAGATAAGGTAAAGATAAACATTGACTTTTGACCTGGTGTGGCTTGGGATCTCACTCTCTGGTCAGACCTCTGATTGAACCCGGCCAGAAGCGAATCCAGCCAGTCAGGGCACTTGGGGGAGGTGGTCAGTTTAAACAGCTCCTCCCCAGGGGCTCTCTAATTCGCTTGGGAGAAAAATGGGAAGGAAGACTCGACAAATCTCCGCCCCAAAAATAGATAGAAATACTGATGTTTGTGTGTGTAAAAATGCTTTTTTGGTTTGGTGAGTGGCAGGTCCTGATAACTGTGTCCGTATCGCATCACAAACCTGAAGTCACTTTCATCTCGTTTGATGAGTTGGCGGGTCCCGACGCGTTTATCCGCATCGCATCACAAACCTGAAAGTCCGGAGTGCTCGAGTACTCTGTATAACTTGTATATGTGTTTGGTTTCCTACTAGAAGTAAACTCAGATAATTTGTTATAACTTTGATTCCGGTGTTTTCAATTCCTTTCTTAATTTAATAGAGATCCAGCCTCATCCAACGAACGGCGCGTAGCAGAAGTGTTCTACTCCAACATGACGTACAACGACCTCCACAACTTCTGTAGTCCTATTCAGCCACTTGGTAACAACCATCGTTTTTCAGACACGTCAACTCTTCAGAAATCCCCAGTGGGGTCACTGCTGATGGATTTAATGTCGTAGAACAAAACGTGATCCGTCTCTTCAATGTGTCTCAACCACAGACCTTATTTACAGATATTTTCCTAAACCCTATGGAGAGATCCCATTGGCTCTGAGACGAGGGAACAGGAAGTGGTGAAATGCTAACTTACTTCCAGGTTTTAGGACTCGTCACTGTGGCACTCTATAGAGGGATATGAGTCTAAAATGCATGATCTGTTTGTATTTTGAGAAAAACACATCATAGACGTGTTTTTATATATTTGTATATATCTGAGACCCATAATATAGGCCTAAAAATAGCATGATAGGTGCACTTACCAAAAAAAAATACTCATTAACTGAGAAATAATGTCTGTTTGTTAATTAAAGTACAGACAGACACAAATATAGTTATAATGCAAGCATAACCTATGAAAACATTGTCAGGTTGTCGTTTTATGAGCATCAATTGGCAAAATGTAGTGAAATTCAGAACTAATTCAATGGATTAGACTTCCAAAACTCTCCCTAATAAACAGTAGCTTCAGTATTTAAGGATCAACATGTTAAATAAGGTCATCAGTTGTGTGACTTTGAAGCACAACAGCGGCACTTTTACTGTAAATGACGTCAGTGAGCAAACACACACAGTCTAGACGGTTTCAGATACGAGATGAAGAAGATGATGATGAGGGGTTTCCTGTGGCTGATTAACAATTATAAATCAAAAGAGAAAGATTGAAGATGATCTGCTAAAACATGAGCTGTCTGCCATGAGTCATTGAATCAGTGGATGCTTCAAAGTCTTCAGTTTATAGTAGACTAAACAGAAATATAGAGAGAAAACTGTATTTGTTATTTCAGTAAATAGGAGCTTCAACAGCATCTCCTTCTGCTTCAGATGTTTACACCGTTTTTTAAATTAAACACAAACACCCATCGAGGTACTTTACTTGAGTATTTCCATTTAATGGTACTTTATACTTCTACTCCAATACATTTTTAAATGGAAAATAATGTATTTCAGGGTTCATACACTTTTTCACCAATGATTTTCAATTCTCCATGACCTTTACCTAATTTCCCATGACCAAAAAAATACTCTTTACCACTGAAAATGGTTTATTTTAACATGGAACAGGAAAATCAGGTCTGAAACATGTTGTGCCTATCTAAAACAAATCAAATAGGCTTTCTAGCTTCTACACGCAAAGCAACTCAAATCTCTCACCAGCAAAACACCTCATCAGTTAAATGCCATTTTACGTTTCATTACTATACGATACAGTATTTATTATCATTATAGTATTACTATTTCGGCGATTAGCTAAAATATAAATTATATTTGATGCAACTTTAGTTACATTTCCATGACTTTTCCAAAACTTTGGGAAAAATATTGTTTTCCATAACTTTTCCAAGGCCTGGAATTAGCATTTTGAATTTCCAAGACTTTTCCAGGTTTTTAATGACCATAAGAACCCTGGTATTTAACTCCACTTCGTTTGTTTTAAAGCTTTATTTCCTTTTCAGATTAGGATTTGGCTCCAAAAATATGTCAAAACATTGCGTGTTTTTAAAGATTAAACCATCGGGATAACTTTTTGATGGACAAAAAGTTAAACATTTCAACAGTAAAATGCAACAATATGAACTATCTAATAACTAGGTCAAATGTATAAGGAAAGTACTACTTCTCCTCTTGGTAATTCACCTACATTTAGCTGATAACACTTCTGTATTTAAGTTAGAATTTAAATGTCGGACTTTCACTTCGGACGTCAATATTTCTGGTACTTTCACTGAAGTAAAGAATCTGAATACTTCCTAAAACATCGGATATTAGTGCCAGAATATATTGTGATGCTTATTTTTTAAAGACAATGGACTTTTCTCCTAACTGGAAAACGTTACAAACTGTCCGTGAGATTCTCATGTCTGTTTCTGGAGAGATAAAGGGGCTTTTTCCTCTTTGACGTAAGCCTCCTAGGGCAACTTCCTGCACCACCCTAGACGGTGAATTATCTTCAGTAAGTGTGTGTTCCTCCCCTGAGAGAGGAGAGGACGGAGGATCTGAGTCATGGCCGGTAAAAGGTTTTCATTAGACCGTCGCTGAACAGCACTTTCTCAAACTCAAAGGCTTAATCCAAATCTAAACAGGAGAGAGAAGGAGAAAAGTCACATTTTCAAACTAAAAGCCTTTAGCTCTGATTGAAATGGCTTCATTAAATGCAAATAATGTTTAATTTATCCTTTTTTTCCCAATAGTTTTGCTTTAATCTGTTTTTAATCGACAATTATACCAAGTTTTAACATCTTCATTATATTTTCGACAGGGTATACTATGGCACATTTCCATTATATTTTCAAATGACTACATTATGATCATTTTAACATACTATACCATGACTATTTAACACAAGTAATAAAGCTTTTTACTTGATATTTTCAACTTTCAATACGAAGAGTATATTATAACTTATATTTTTCTACATACTTCACCATGACTTTGTTCATATTTTCTTTTAAACAACAAATGAAGCTCAAGTTCAACCAGGAAGACCTTCTTTACTCATTCATTTACTATTCCCATGTAACAACTCTCTCTCCTCTCAATAAGTGATCGGGGGCGTCACTCCCCAGCTTAACCAATCACTTCGCTCTATTCTCACAAGCCTATCATAGCGCTCTGCCAAACCTTTTAAATCTGCTCTCCCCCCTCTGACAGCTGTCATTTCAGGTGACTTGACGCAACCCTCCTCCACCCCTTTTCACCTCCTGTCCCTCTGAATCCAGGGTCAAGCTAAGCCACTCCCCTTCAGACCGACCCCAACTATCCATTCACCACCACCAGGGTCAAGCTAAGCCACTCCCCTTCAGACCGACCCCAACTATCCATTCACCACCACCAGGGTCAAGCTAAGCCCCTCCCCTTAAGACCGAACCCAACTATCCATTCACCACCACCAGGGTCAAGCTAAGCCACTCCCCTTCAGACCGAACCCAACTATCCATTCACCACCACCAGGGTCAAGCTAAGCTCCTCCCCTTCAGACCGACCCCAACTATCCATTCACCACCACCAGGGTCAAGCTAAGCCACTCCCCTTCAGACCGAACCCAACTATCCATTCACCACCACCAGGGTCAAGCTAAGCCCCTCCCCTTCAGACCGACCCCAACTATCCATTCACCACCACCAGGGTCTAGACCCCGGGGGGTTTCATCGGATCGGTTCTCCCCTCCAGAATGATACTCCTGTACGGGGCCTAATCGCCAAAACTCCATTACATTCATTTGTGTATTCCTGGCAATAAATATGTATTCTTACATCAACACCGTCTCTCCTGATTGAACTATACTATGACTTTTTACTTGATATTTCCAACAAACCATACTATGATTTGTTTTACACTTTAATCAATGTTATCAAAATGTGTACAGGAAACCACAAAATAAAGAATATGTAAGCAGAAAAGAGGTTTAAATGTTTTTTATCACACATATTGTTTCACACAGAGTAGAAAATGGCCTTCATGTGTTACAAAATATTGCTTACATTACATTACATCACAGGATGAGACAAATAAACTCGACAAGCAAATTAAAATGTTATGAAAGAGTGGATCCCAGTGTAGCCCACTACATACAGCGCTGGATTTCATCTTCATTTGTTATCTAAAAATATACATTATGTGTATTTAGTACTTCAAAGTATCACAGTTATTTTAATTTCAGTGCTTAGCCATGTCAAATTAATAGATGTACTTCCACAGGCCTGGGATCAATACATAAAATATGTTTTAAATGTCCAGCTTGGTGTCAAATAACAACATATTTCTTAGTGTTAAAAGTCACAATATACAGTCACACAAATAAGAAGAACATTTAAAGTGCAAACTACACAAAGGGTGAAGGGACGGCTTGGATTGCTTTATACAACCTCTTTGTGACATACTATATATTCATTAAACCATACTTCCTTGTACGTGAAAAGAGTGTTTTGTTTCACAACCTGTTGTAGTGTTTGTGTTTCTTCATTTTTAGCTTACAGACAAAATCCCCTCTCAGATACACATCTTCTAAATCAACAAGAAAGCAAATCATTCCCATTGCTTTAGCATTTCATGGTACGGTGAACAGTGTTGAAGTGTAGTGTCTAAATCCTTTTTTCACATTCAATAAACTTGCACTAGATAGCACGTGGCTTGATAAGCAGACTGGGAATTTCAGTCATAAATCTTTAAAGTTGCAGTTCCTCAAATGAACATCAGATCAAGGAATGCTAGCTGTTTAAAAGTCCTTTAAAAGTCCAAGATTTCCTGTAGTCTTCATTTCAGAAATATCTCTTCTGGTGCAATACGACTTTATTTCGTAAAAACATGTAAAGTTTGTCGATTAAAAGAGATCATTTTGCAAGTTAAGAAAGTTGCGTTGTTGTTGTTGTTGTCTTAGTTTGCTTAGTTTACATAGCTTGCTAGCTTGCCATGTAGCTTAGCTATGTAGCAAAGTAACGTTATTTTACGTGATGTATTTTCAGGATGGTGAAAAAGGAGCAAGTGTGCGTGAATACATCCTGGTACAAAACTCACAGATATAGTAGCTACTCCGGCGGGTGAGAAAGGTGCAACATTTACGACGTTTTTAGTTATTATTTATGTATTATTGTCTATTGCTTTCAACTACCGATGACCGTACATTTGAGCTAACGTAGCTATGTTCTAAGAAAACATTTAACGTTATCTTTCGGTGAGATAGTAGTTTGCAACATTTACGCAACATTTGTGTCTTTCTAGATACGTCTAATACCTAAAGTTAAATGACAAACTGCAACTTTCTTGACCTGTCAAATGATCTTTTCCAATAAGCATGATTCCTGGACTCAAACAGGAGGCAAAGATCTTTTTTCTCTGGCTTTTAGCGTACATATATCTTTCCGAAATAAGGTCCCATGGTGATCCAATGTAAGGGGCGGGTCTTCCCCTCTCTATAATATCACAAGTTGTCTTGATTGACAGGTGTCCAGACATCGTGGTTCCTTCATGTGTGTCCCGACTCAAATCCTTCACTTTAGTGGCAAAGATGGTGGTGATGAACCCAAATCAAGTCTTTAAATTGTCCCTTCAGAAGACTTTGGGCAGATACATTCAAGTGTTTCTACTGTCTCTTCATTAAAAACCACCAACAGAGTCCCAAACATATATTCCTTCATTAGGCGGTAAAGGTTCGGATGTGCTTTCGTTTTCTCGCCTGGCAATATCGAACCAACAACGCCATCGCGATCAACAGAACCAACGCTATCACCACTACAGGGATAACGTAGTTCTGCACGCCCGATATGTGGCACATTTCGAGCGTCACCTTCTCAATGTTCACCGGTTCTGAATACTCCTCGTGAACGCAGGTGACCGTCTCGATGTCCGGTACGACCACGGCCGAACGCTGCACCATCTGGAGGAAGTCGAGGTTGCTGCAGCAGCTCAAAGGGTTGGAGCCCATGTAGAGAGTTTTTAGGGAATGTTCCAGAGCGAGCATGGAGCTGTACTTCAGCGTCACGAGGTTATTGTTCTGCAGGTTCAGCGACTCTATGGACGAGTCTTTGCTCCACACGGGTATATTCGTCAGCTGGTTTGTGGATAAGTCGATGTGTTTGAGACTCTTCAGCGACGACAAGTCTGTGTTTAAACTGGAAATGTTGTTTTCTTTTAAAAGGAGGTGGATTAGGGTATGCTCCAAACCAGAGAGGGAGTCTTTGTCCATTTCTAGCCCAGGATTTAGCGACAAATCCAGTAACTTCAACGAGGTGTTGGCAAACGCGTTCGCAGGCAAAACCCTTAAATAGTTCTCAGACAAATTCAGGAATTGCAAGGTCGGTATGGAAGTAAAGGAGACACAATCCTGGGGTTCATTCTCCGAGGAACAGATTTCCAGATCATTCTGCTGTAGATGAAGGTGTTTGATGCTGGGTAGTCTTTGAAATATTCCATGATCCAGGGTGGTGAGGTCGTTTCCTTGCAAGAAGAGTTTTTCCAGCGACGGCAGAGTGTTTTCCCCAAATGTCAGGCTCTGCAGAGAGTTAAAACTGAGGTTGATGATCTTCACCGTCTGCATGAGGCCTGGGTTGGTGATAGAGAACGAGTTGATGCAGTTATTGCTCACATTCAGCACCTCCAGAAATCCCATACAGTGAAAGAACGACTCAGGAATGCTTTTGAGTTGGTTGTAACTCATATCAAGGTATTTTAGATAATGGAAATAAACTTGTGTTTTCTTTTCAAGACCTCCTGTGACGTTGATGCTCTGAAGATGGTTTCGTGAAACATCAATATGTTCAATCATGTTGTTTCTGGGGAGAAGAGGGAAATAGAGCATTTTGTTTTCACTCAAATCAAGATGAGTGAGTTTATAGAAGACCGTCGATGTGGTGCTGTGGAAGAACTCCACGCTGTTTTTGCTCAGATTGAGGACTTTCAAATTGCAAAGGTTAAAATCTGTGATGCACGTGATCGAGTTCTTGGACAAATCGAGTTCAGTCAAATGCTTCAAGAACTCAAACGCTCCGTCTTCAATCTCCAAGATGACGTTATTGTGGAGGCTGATTCTTCTAAGCGATGAGGATCCGCTGAAGGTGTTATGGGCTATTTTGGTGATGCTGTTGCCATTCAGAGAAAGATCCATTAGTGACGGAGAATCGGCTAAAAGGTAGTCCGACATCCCCGTGTACAGCCCGTTGTTCGACAGATCGAGCGACTCCACAGCTGTGAGAGGCCCAATGTTGATTTTGGCATGAGCGAACACATTCAAATGATTCCTGGACAGATCCAAGACTCTCAGATCCGTCATGTCTTTGAAGAGCCCCGGCTGGATGAAGTGGATCTTGTTGGCGCGGAGGTTCAGGTGGTGGAAACCGTTTTGATACGCCAGTGTTCCCTGCGAGAGATTCTGCACCTGGTTCAGGGAAAGATCCAGCATTCGAACGCCATGAGGAAGGTCGACCGGTGCACTTCTGAGGCTCAGATCGCTGCAGAACACATCCATCTGGACCTGAAACACAAACACACACGTCTGATTATGTCGGCCTGCTGCCAGATTAACCCTGACACAATACAGAGCAAATGTTTTAAGTGTGGAGGGGCGATTTATGAGCATGTTCTTGGCAGCAGTACAGACCCTCTAAAGTTTACGATAGTGAGTCGTTCTGAAGGGAAGAATAACTTTGTACAATTCTAATGGATAGGTAATGACTTCTTCATCAAACAGAAGAGCGATTTTAGTCCAAAGATGATACGTCACACCTTCAGTTATTCGGCATCTTCTCCAGTTCCTCTTAATCCAGTCGAATATTTTAGTTATTAGATGTTGGTTATAATTGAAACCACATGTCCAGAGACCCATTCTGTCCACCTCTCTTAAAGCTGTCCTCCTCTCCATTTTCTCTCCAAGTGCATTTAGCTTCTCGGAATATTTGTGGTATCCTGAAATAGGCATTCCTCTTTGCTAACGAGCCATAAACAAACAGATTGATTTATTCACGAACTCCTGCAGGCCAAAACATCTTGTGTCTGTTGTCAAGAACTGAGGAACAAATAAAGGATTTTTTTAAAGAAAGCATCTTAATTTGAAAGCCTTGACTTTTCTCTGTGATTCTGTAGTTATCAGTGATACTACAAACTAACTTATATTAAGCTTTTGAGTGTATAAAATCTGATATATGCATGTTTGAAAGTACATGTACTCAAGCACTGTACTAAATAAGATTTTTGAGGTGGAGCATACTCCACTAATTTTCAGAGGCAAATGTACTTTTTATTCCATAGAATTTGCATTTAGATGTCGTTTTATAATGTGTTTGTTTTACACCTTGCGTTGATACTTTCAATGTTATATTATGGAGCACTTTTCTTTGTTTTGTTGTTGAAATGGGCATTTTGCCTTTAAGGAGCCAACTTTAATGTGAAATAAAAGAAAAACTCCTGTGTAAGGATATTTGTTTTTTGTGTATTTGTTATTTTTTCCTTTTTTGTGACCTTTTTATGCCATTATTAGAAAGTAATGCGACAGATAAGAGCTGGGGAATAGCGTGCTAACAAGGCTACAACTAAATATCTTTTCACACAAGCTGACGTCACTAAATCTCTTCTAGGAATGTGCTGTCTTTCCTAGGAAAAAGAAAATCCTCCTGCACACAGGAAGTGATGCCTGTGACATTTCCAGTTTATTACACAACTAGAAGAAGAACTGTTGGCAGATTGCATAGGAAGCAAAAACTCAAACATAATTCACCAGAAGCTCAGAGGAAAATAAGGTCTAATATACACATAAAAACACTTTCACACAGTTTCCAGTGAAGCAAAATAAGGTTTCTGTGTCTGAATACTGGAGCCTGAAGCTAAAACGAATAAACCCGATCTGTTCAGGTCAAAAACCCTCAAATAAATCGTCTGCCTGTCAGGATCATGTGAAAAAACCTGCTGACGAATTAGGTGCCTCATCTCAGTTTCTGTGGGCAACCCGAGGACATAAACTAAAAACAGATGAGGGCATTTAGTGTTTATTTATTTGGCTGATATGTGAGGAATGTGCCTTCAGGAGGAGATGCAAGAAAACTGAGAACAATCTGGATTTTAATGTTTAGTTTCAGATAAGTTTGTACGAGGAGATCTTTGGATACGTTTACATAAAGCCCAGAAATCTCTCTATTTGTGCCAAAAGCTGGCAAGGAGTATATGATCTGTTCTGGTTTTATAAGGAATATATTTGCCTTTTGATTGTTTTGAAAGAGTTCCTCTGAGTTTGATGTGCTGGTTTTATTCTAAACAATAAGATATAACCAAATGTCATAAGGTTTAACATCAAATAAGACATTTCAACAGATATATATACATTTAAGTGGCATATTATTTTTTCAACATTATCTTAATTGGTTTGTTAACATAGCAAGAAAAACTCTATTTTAAAGCAATTGAAACACACGTCATAGTTTGCATTATAATGGCTAGAAAACAGAGATTTTCCTAATTGTTATGTTAAAATTACGATAAAAAGAATATTTACACATAAGAAAAGTCACAAAAACAAACAAAGAACACATCACAACATACACTAATTCACAACCAGGCATGAAACAACTAAAAAAAAAAAAATGTTTTTCCTCTGAATGCCAAAAAGTTTAATTAAAATGAGAAATGTCTTAAGTTTTGTCCGAAAAACTTGCAAGTAATCAGCGAATTTCATACATTTGGACCTCTAAATGTGAGTGTTAGTGTGTCTGTTTAACCTTAGTAAACAGACCTGTGTGTGTGTGTATATAAATGTGTGTGTGAGTGTTTTACTTACAACTTGGCATGCTGGGAGTTGGCGAGGAGGCCGTTCGGACGCCGCCACGCAGCTGACCATCAGCGGGAGGAGCAGCTGGAGACAGGCCATGGTGCTGCAGGACACACACGATACACACACGTTAACACACACGATACACACACACACACACACACACTCTGGCTGCAGGTGATATGGCTCCAGAGAGGGAAGGAAGAGGGAAGTGGCCCAACCTACATGTGTGACCTATGACAGTGCTATTTATGATACAAACGGGGCTTTTTGTTCACTGTGCACTGAGTTGAGCTGCAGAGCTGCTGGAACAGAGAAACTGTGACGTAGAGAAAGACTTTTTTCCGTCACTTCTGAGTAAATGCGGTCAAATCTGCACTGTAACGGTGAGAGAAGAGATACTTTAACCCAAAGAAATACCCCTTAAGAAAATGATGATTAATGCTGGATGTTCTCAAAAACACTACTTTTAGAATTTGGAGCGTTTTTAAAAGTTATCTTTTTCTCAAGCGGAGAAATGTTTAAAAGAAAGAAATTAAGTTTCCCAAGACCGACAACTAACTATGGTGGAAGGAGTACTCAGATAATTTACTTATAATACCACAGATTAGAAATACTCTATTGCAAGTAAAAGTCCTGTGTTCGAAAAGTAAAAAGTACATGAGGCATATCGTGAAAATGTTCTTACAATTTAAGTAATAATATTCTTTAAAACTGTTGTTTTATTTTAGACAAGATAAGATTATCCTTTATTGATAACAACATATTCTATTCATATGGTTAACAAGGAAATATAAGAGTTGTAATTTGTCAACGCGGAGCACGTTTTGAATACTTTGTGTACTAGCTTAGTAGATTAGTAGTATTTGAATCTTATCATGGTAAATGTGAAGTGACATTACATATTGCAGTGAAAAGTATAATATTTCCATCTTAGAAGAAGAAGCTTAAAGTGGCAGAAAATGTACTTTAATACTTCATATTTAAACTTGAGTACTTGAGTAGATGTACTTTCCCCCACTGCTTATTGTTAGAAAAATCAGACATTGTTGTTTACGTCTCGGTGAGTCATCTTTCACGAGACTCAGGTTCTGTGTCTCATTATTTTCTGCGGAAACTCACTCAAATATTTCCTTGAACAAAACAAAACAACATGTGTACTGCAGCGGAGACAATGTGGGAGTAATTACAGAAACAGAAAGGGTTAATACCCAGGAGAGGCTGTTGCTCTAAAAACTCACCTACTGTTATACTGGAGTATAGTCAAGTACATTTAACGTACTTTATGTATATTACTTGATCTTTACGTGAGTATTTACTTTAAAGTGCACCTATCATGCTATTTTAAGGCATATATTATGGGTCTCAGATATATACAAATATATAAAAACATGTCTATGATGTGTTTTTCTCAAAATACAAACAGATCATGCATTTTAGAAATCCCTCATATCCCTCTATTTCAGACCTGTTAGAGAAACGTGGATTTTGGGTCCTCAGCTTGAAAAAGAAAAGAGGAGGCGGAGCTAATGCCTGATCAGAATTCTACCGGAGATTAAATTCTGCTGTGATAAAACGCCATCCTGTTCTAAACCACATCAAGGCTTATTTCTGAAACAGTATGGAGCTCAAATGCTTTTTCTCTTGCGGGTTTATTACAAGGTGAGTTTTTTTATGTCCTGCTTTTTAAACACATGTGCTCTCCAGTACAGGTTAGCTCTGAGTGTTAGCGACGCTTGCTAATGTAAACAAAGACGAGATTACGTCCAAAACACGTCAGGCATTGTTTCTGATAGCAACTCTCTGTGGGTCCGCCATCCGAAATTACGTCATATCGGCAGCAAATCTGTATCCGCTCGTTGTACCCCCGTTTTTAAAAGATTTGGGTACGGAGGAAAAGAGAGAGGGTTTTATTTTCTGACGCTGCGTGAGTTCCCCGACACACCGGGGACACATTAATGTATAAAAGACATCACAAAGTGCATTTTGCATGATAGGTCCCCTTTAAAGCCTCATTATTACACTTGTTGGATCACAATGACAAACTACACGAGGAAAATGCTCTTGGTATTTAACTGGTTAAATTGAGTGTTAAAAGTAACAGAAGTTTAACGGCACAGAGTTACTGCTGAAACCCTGCAAGAGCGAATTCATAAAGATTCTCATCACATTGCTCTCATGTGATGTTTGTTAAGCTGCACACAAAAACAGACACTCTTTCTTACATTTTAGAAGCATTTGTTGGCAATTAAGTAAAAAACATGAGCTTTTATTTTGAAATTCCATTTGTTTTTGATGTAAAAACTTCTGCAAACAAGTAACAGATAAGACTTCTATACTTTTACCTAGTTTGAGATTGATTGACTGATTTAGGTGTTAGATTTCGTGTTTTTACTTCAGTCAAAAGTACTTTTTTCTCCATATTCTGTAACCATGCACACATCTCCCCCACAGTCAAGTCTTCCAACAAGTAAAACATGCAACAACAACAACAACAACAACAACAACAACAACAACAGCAACAACAACAAGTCTTCTTTTTTGGGTTGAATATGACCTCACTTTGAGCTGATGTGATCACAACACTGGCAACCGGTGGTGGAAGAAGTACGTTACTTATTTAAAAGAAAACCGAGCTTTTACTTTGAAATTCCATACATTTTAACATGAAATCTACTTTAAGTAACGGATAAGACTTTTGCTTTGTTTTTAGTTTGAATGCAAGGTTGAAGTTTAATTTAAGAGTATTTGTTAGCCATGCGTACATTAACTTAACTTTATATACAAAAAACTGTTCAAAACGTTCAAGTTTAAAACATTTGTTAGAGAAATAATCAAATGCCATAAGCTACACAACTCTGACGAAGTAGATATTACAGTTCTTAAGCAATTGTCTATAGTCTACTACTTTTTTAGAGAAACCCTCCCAACACTAACCTGTAGTGGAAGAAGTACTTCAAGAAACTGAGCTTTTATTTTGAAATCTCATGTGTTTTTAATGTAAAATCTGATGCAAACTACTAACTGATAAGACCAATGTACGTTACCTTAGTTTAGAGATTGATGCAGTATGTATGAGTCCTTTTAAAATGCTAAATTCATGTATTTTAAGTAAAGTAATAAATATTTCACTATTATTTTGAAGCCATGCACACATCTGCTCCCTCAGCCCTCCAACAGGCAACATGCTTTAAGTGTTTTTATAGAGTTGAACGTTACCTCACTTTCAGATGATCTCTAGTCTTCACAGAGCCTCCTGACCATGTTGATCTCACATCCTCCGCACACACACACACACCCACTCACTGTCTGATCGATTGTGACCAAGTGAAACACCGCAAGCCTCACACACACACCCACACACACACCCACACACACACACACTGACCCTCCTCTCAGCTGACTGTGTTCACCGCCGTCCAGCCATCACATCCTGTGAGAATATCCTGCATCCCCCCCCTCCCAACGCTGCGGGGAAATGCCTTATAAGGGGGTGGGGGAGTTCAGTTTTCTGCTCCAACTTCAAGAAGACAAATCCCCTCCTCCTCCTCCTCTTGCAAAAAAAAATACCCTCAATCAATCCTAAGAGAGGCTGGGATGTTCTCACACACACTGAAGTGTATCTGGAATTTGGGGCATTTTAAATGGCAGTCCATGTTATCTTTTTGCATAGCAACCTTTTATGGGTAATTGTTTAAAATAAGACAGTGATTTCCCCAAAAATGGCAACTAGCAGTTTTGGGAGAAGTACTTTACTTAAGTAGAAGTATGAATACTTCCTATCAATCTTTAGAAATACGTTAGATCACATGTGTCAAACTCAAGGCCCGGGGGCCAAATCAGGCCCGTGGTGGATTTAATTTTGGCCCGCAGGATAATTTCTAATTACTATTAGATCTGGCCCGCCGGTATATTGCACGCACACCTTCACTCCATCCTGAGGGTCTCCTCAGCTCAGAGCCTGACCCCAAACATTGATGAACTTGCACCCAAGATGAGATGCTAAGTATCTGAGCTAGCATCACAGAGCAGCACACTGAGTTTACATGGATGTTTCCTTCTGCACTTTTTCTCTCACATCAACAGGGCATGTTTGGTTTGTTCTTTGAGGGGAATAGTTTTCTTGAAGCTGTTGTTGGCCTGTGGAGAAATGTAATCATAAGAAATGAAGCTGCAGATAGAGCCATAAGAAATGAATGCAACTGATTATTTAAAGGGGACCTATCATGCAAAATGGGAACTCACCAAGTGTCAGAAAACACAACCCTCTCTCTTTTCCTCCATACCCAAATCTCTAAAAACGGGGCTGCAACGGATCTGATAAAAACTGATCCAGATTTGAAATGGTTCTGACGTCAGAAACGGGGTGCTCCGCCTATATGGGCAACTCTCCACCTATCAGGGGAATGAGAGGTTGCGTGGCATGGTAACAGCATGGTAACAGCATGGTAACATGACGCTCGTGCCTCGCCCCCCTCCTTTGGGGGCGTGGTCAGCTGCAGCTCATTTGCCACAGAATCAGCCCTTGTGAAAACAGGGCTGGAAAAGAGCAAATAGAGCGAAATGAGGCATGGCTAAAATGCAGGATCTGTTTGGTATTTTGAAAAAAAAACTTCACAGACATGTTTTATATAGGTATGGCCTTACAATATATTATTCAAATATAGCATGATAGGTCCACTTTAATGTTTAATTGTTTTTATTGGCAATCATTTAAGCTTTGTTAGTTCCAGGTTTAATATGTGCAATAAGTTCATTTCAATACGTTTTGCAATAAACATTGAACCAGTCCGGCCCTCGACTTGTACCCATTTTTTAATTTTGGCCCACTGTGTATTTGAGTTTGACACCCCTGCGTTAGATGTTCTCACACAGCATGGACTTTGGGGCATTTTAAACATTTTGCATAATACTAAGGGGATCTTTTATAGATACATGTTTAAAAAATAGAGAGATTTTTCCCAAAACTGGCAACTACAGTGGTGTATTTATATACTTTACTTATGTAGAAGTAGAAACATACTGTATCAACCGCATGTTCTCCCACACGAAACTCCACGTGGAATTTGGGGCATTTTATACGTTTTGCATAATACTCAGGTGACCTTTTATGGATAATTGTTTGATAAAAAGGGGGAAACTTTCACAAAACTCTCAACTATTGCTGGGAAAAGTACGTAGATCCTTGACTTATGTAAAAGTAGAAACATCCCCTATGAACTTTTATAAATACCTTGACTGTTCTCCCACAACAAAGTCTATTTGGAATGTGGGGCATTTTAAACGTTCCATATTTTTTTAAACGGCAGTCCATGTTATCTTTTTGCATAGCAACCTTTTATGGGTAATTGTTTAAAATAAGAGAGTGACTTTCCCAAAACTGGCAACTAGCAGTGGTGTATTTATATCCTTGACTTATGTTGAAGTATAATTATCCTTTGTCATTCTTGAGATTAGCTAAGATGTTCTCACACACCAAAGTCTATCTGGAATGTGGGGCATTTTAAATGTTCCATATATGTTACCTTTTATGGAGAATTGTTTGAAAAAAAGGGGGTAACGTTTCCATACAAGCAACTGGCCGAAGAGACAGAGGTATTTAGATCCTTGACTTCATTTTGCTCGTAATACTCCATTTTACGTTAAGTTGCTTTATACATTAAAACAAATTCCTTATGTGTGAAAACAAAAAAACGGATTCTGCCTAAAAACAATTTCTGTGCTTTCTTCAAAAATCATTTGGACAGTTATTTATAGGAGAAAGTTTGACTGGCTTTCCCAGCATGTTTGAGACATTCATAGTTAGTTTTAGTCATTTCAATGTAATTGTCTGTAAGTGTAAACCGCTGTTTGCTCGTCGTAATTACAGCCTTGTTTGTTTACTGTAAGATGAACCACATGACAAACCAGACTGAACTCCCCCTGTCGTAAAAAGGACATTATCACACCCACTCTCATACATGCATAAGTTACAGCTGTTGACATGTTGCTAGGTAGAAATACAGTAAAGGCTCTTTTCACAGTATCTTAGAACACTATTATCCTGTTTATGTCACCATTTAATACATGTTTTACAATTTGTTAACAACTAGAAGTGGGAGAAGTACTTAAATAAAAACAGTGAGCTTTTATGAAAAATGTCCTGGAATTGTAATGGAAAATCTACTCTGCAAACCAGTAACTGATTTAGAAGACTGTACTTTAGTAATCTAGCAATCTAGATGCATTTAAAGGTCTCCTATCATGCAAAATGCACTTTTTGATGTCTTCTATACATAAATATGTGTCCCCGGTGTGTCAGGGAACTCACGCAGCGTCAGAAAATAAAACCCTCTCTCTTTTCCTCCGTACCCAAATCTCTAAAAACGGGGGAACAACGGAGCTGATCCAGATTTGCGTCCGATATGACGTAATATCTGAAATGTGGACCCACGGCCCAATCAGAAACGTTGCTATCAGAAACAATGCCCGACTGTTTTGGACGTAATATGGTCGGTGTTTACATTAGCATCGCTAACACTCAGAGCTAACCTGTACTGGAGAGCATGTGTGAAGAAGCAGGAAATAAAAAGGAACTCACCTTGTGGTATAACCGGCAAGAGAGAAAGCCTTTGAGCTCCATACTGTTTCAGAGATAATCCTTGATAATCCATGATATGGAGTTTCATCACGGCAGCATTTAGTTTAGACAGTAGCTGCCGGGTCCCGCATGAGCTCAGACCCCTCCTTTTTGATTTTTTGTTTAAAGCTTTATACCCCAAATCAGCACTTTTGAAACAGGAAGTGAAATAGAGGGATATGAGGCATGGCTAGAATGGGTGATCTGTTTGGTATTTTGAGCAAAACACTTCATAGACATGTTTTTTATATATTTTTATATATATCTGAGACCTATGCTATTGCCTAAAAATAGCATGATAGGTGACCTTTAAACAAGAGTATAATCAGCAAAATGTACTTCAATAATCAAATGGTAAAGTACTCAGTTTGCAGAAGGGACTACTTAAACTGCCCTAAATTCCCAATGGAGTTTGATGAGAACATAATAATAATAATATATATTTATAAAAAGATTACAACAAATATGAGAAATATAAATAAACAATTAAATTGGAAGTATTGTATAGAAAAAGTCAGAGGAATGGCCAAAGCTTTCTTGACGGAATATTTTACATATTGTATTATATTTGGATGGTATTATAAACCACAGAGATCAGAGGTTTTACTTTAAAAAGGTCAAATATTTAGTATCTTTTTTAATTTCAATGTTATTTTTCTTAACTTATCTGACTTATATTGTTAGTCTTTTCGGCACTTGCATTGTACACTTTATTAAAACGCTCATAAAACAGCTTTTTCTGCCAGTTTAGAGTGGGGAAATAGTTTAAATATCTAAAAGAAATTGGTGTTTCAAGAAAAAACGTAGTTGTAGCTGTCAAATAATGATTCATAAAAGGTACACTATTTTTTAAATCAATAATATTGCGAAAGAGGAAAAATGACCTCTAAATTAAACTTAAGTACGTATTTGTTTGCATGGACTTTGATCACCTGCTGACATGCGTTTAGAAAGACATGATAAATAATTAAACATTATTATAAATAAGAGAAGAAGAGGATGACTCACCTGTCTCGTCTTCTTCTGCAGTGTCAGCTTCAGTTTCACATTCAACATCCTTTCATCCTTATGTTTATCCGTGGTTTCATATGCAAACACACACACACACACACACACACACACACATCATATTTCCTCCCGAGGGAGATTTCCCCGGTTCATATTTCCCGGGATTTCCGCACCTTTTTGTTTCACTTTGCATTCAGCTCATTGTGTGTGTGTGTGTGTGTGTGTGTGTGTGTGTGTGTGTGTGTGTGTGTGTGTGTGTGTGTGTGTGTGTGTGTGTGTGTTTGTGTGTGTGTGTGTGTGTGTGTGTGTTTTGTCTTCCAAATATGTGTAGGAAGTTTTTCTTCATTAATCACCAATACATTATGTAATATAATGACATGAACATGTTAAATGGTAAAGTGAGAAACTCTGCCCCCTGCTGCTCACCTGTGGTATTTTTCTTTTTAAAGAGGCCCAAAAATGCTTTTATGGGTTTTCCCTTTCCTGTAGTGTTTTATAGGTTTTTGTGCATGTAAATGGTCTACAGAGGCAACAATCCCAAAGTTCCCTCCAGACACACACTCCCCCACCACCTGTCATATAACACTGTGCAATATATACTTATATAATATAATCTTAGTATTACTATCACCATTTAAAATATATATATATTTGTGCTGTCTCTATAATTTTTGTCTCTTACTGTAACAATGTATATTTCCCCTATGTGGGATTAATAAAGATATTCCTGTAGGAGGCGTGTGGCACAGTGGATAGAGCGTTGGTGTTCGGATCAGGGGAGCACAGGTTCAAACCCCACTGCAGTCAGCATGTCGTTGTGTCCCTGAGACACTTCACCCCAAATTGCTCCTGTGGGGATTGCCCACAGTATTGAGTATGTATGTCGCTTTGGATAAAAGCATCTAACAAGTAACATGTCATGTTTGGGTAACTTGTATGTTACCCAATATGTTTTTATTGGGTTTTTATTGTGTATTGTGTTTTTCACAATGTATTGTGTTTTTAGCACTGCTTCATTTATATGATGTTTTAATGCTTTTTCAAGCACTGTGACAGTGACTGTCTGTGAAAAGCGCTTTATGAATAGTTACTTACTATGTTACTTACTATGTAACTTACTATGTTACTTACTCACCATGTTACTATGTTACTTACTTACTATGTTACTATGTTACCTACTATGTTACTTACTATATTACTTACTTTGTTACTATGTTACCTACTATGTTACTTACTATGTTACTATGTTACCTACTATGTTACTTACTATGTTACTATGTTACCTACTATGTTACTTACTATGTTACTATGTTACCTACTATGTTACTTACTATGTTACTTACTATGTTACTATGTTACCTACTATGTTACCTACTATGTTACTTACTATGTTACTATGTTACCTACTATGTTACTTACTTACTATGTTACTTATTTTGTTACTATGTTACTTACCATGTTACTTACTTACTATGTTCCTTACTTACTATGTTACTTACTTTGTTACTATGTTACTATGTTACTTACTTCCTACGTTCCTACGTTACTTCCTACGTTACTTCCTACGTTACTTACTATGTTACTTACTTACTATGTTACTTACTATGTTACTTATTTTGTTACTATGTTACTTACCATGTTACTTACTTACTATGTTCCTTACTTACTATGTTACTTACTTTGTTACTATGTTACTTACTTCCTACGTTCCTACGTTACTTCCTACGTTACTTCCTACGTTACTTACTATGTCACTTACTTACTATGTTACTTACTATGTCACTTACTTACTATGTTACTTACTTTGTTACTATGTTACTTACTCACTATGTTACTTACTTACCAATCAGAGCAGACTGGGCTCTGGTTTCAGACAGAGGGTGAAAAGAGGCCCCTTTAATGTTTGCAATAATAAAAAGAAACACACAAACATGTAATTGGCCAGGAATAGGTTTTATATAAAATTTGAACAGTGGATACAGAGGCGATATTATGTGTATAAAAAAATACATACAATAAAAAGGAAAAATAAATGAATCTTTTTTTACTATTTTGAGCAGATGTTAGCTGATGAAATGTAAAAGGCACTAAATGTACAACATTCCAGTTTTAGAGACGTTTGAAACAGAGCTCACCCCGAGATGAACGAGAAACACAACAAAACAAAAGAAAAATCACAGGGAATTTGTTGTCTTTGATTTGCAAGACATAGTGCAGATTTCACAACATAAACATAGGAAACGACTCTCAAAAAACACACAACTATTTACCATCGAAGAAACACTAAGACTCGTTGTGAGCGTCCACTCGGACACTTTTTAAGACACCAAACGTTGGTCGGAAAAACGTTCATAATTTATAGTTTACATCACAATTTTCTACAACAGCACTAAACACTGCGACGAGTCACAAGGAGCGAAGCGACCGGCAGCTGTCGGTATCATACAGGATGTTTTTGATTTGGTAAATACACAGAAATACATGCTAACTGGAGAAAGAAACAAACAGAACAACGTTACAGAGAAAACACACCTGGAAGACTACAGTGCCTGCAGACAGGGTCAATCAAAAAGGGATCAAATTAAGGTTTTCATTAGTTGGATGAAAGTATTTAGAGTTATGAATAATAACATGAGTCCAGGTTGATGTACGCAAGGATTACTTATAGTTAAATACATGTTTTCACACATTTTTGATAAATTATCATGATTGTTTTGGTTCATAACGTTGGCTAACGGTGATTTTGGGAGATTTTGACAAGTGATGTAGGTTTTTTGGGGGTTTATTGACGAGAAAAAGGCACATTTCCTACCCTGGTGGGACGATACATTTCTATTCTACCCACTGATTGTGTTTTCAGCTGCGTAACGAGCTTTACAGTCATTATTGCTACAGACGTCTAGTCATTCAAGGTACAAATCGTGAGCTCAGCGGAAAAGAAAACCCACTGAAACTGGCACACAACGGTAATCTACATTATCAGGGACATTCACGATGATACAATCCACCCAAGAGTTTTTTAACAGTAGTTTGTGTGAAATTAACATACTTTTCTATAAATGCGTAATAAAAATTGAGTTTTATTGATTGAGTGATTTTTTGCTCATTGCTGTTTTGTTTAACTATCACCACTCTTAAGCCACTTTAAGAGCTGTTTTTAAGAGAAAAAGCTGTAAAAGGCCACTTTAGAGACTAGCTGTGAGCAATAAGCAGCTCGAGTCAGGTTGTACTCAGAATTAAGGGAGAGGAGACCAAAAATGGAGATAAAAAAGGGAGAAATTGGACTAAAATCCATCAGTTTCACGGAAAAATTATTTAGAAATCGTTCTGATGTTGATCTGAATGTGTAAGTTAACAGTTTGCTAAGGTTTTGGGGTCAATATTAATTAGAAATTGTATCAAAACCCCCTTGTAAGCTAAACAAATAGTTAGTGAAGTTAGTTGGAGGAAGCAAAAATCTGAGCTAAAAGTGAAAGCAAATTCGACTTTAATCCATAAAGTGGACACAAAAATGACTCCAGAAAAATTAAATGTGGCTCAGAATGTGGAAATGATCCGTTTGCTAAGGTTGTGGAGTCGATATTCAGGAATTGTGAAACAAAAACACCCTTTAGTTTAAACTCAAGGAAAAGTCAGATTTTCCTCAGACGTTAGGTGGAGGAGACCAAACATGGAGCTAAAAGTCAGCAAAAATGGATAAAGAGGGTTTTGGATTCAATATTAATGAAGAATTGTAACAGAAACACCCTAAAAAAATCCAGAAACGTCCCCTAACTATGAGTTGTTTGACTAAATACAGTTGAATTCAAGCCGTTTGGAATTGACCGGCTCCCTGCAGGCACTGTATATGTTGGAGTGTTTCCTGACGAACAATTAAGACTTTAAAAAAACAAAGCATGCCACCAACTTTCTCTAGCCTCTACAGCAAACTATACATCCTCAGCCATAGCACACACTGGAATGAGTTACAGTAAACAGCACTATATCTTACATGAAATTGGAATATATACAAATACTGGTCAACATGGAGATTTACTGCATTCTGAATCACAAGCTGAAGGTATTCACTGCGACACAAATATCACTCTCATAGGTAACCACAGACAGAAACAAAAACAGAAGGATTTGGCTTTTTTTCAATGCTTAAAACTAAATAAAAATCAGATGTTGGAATGCATTTAAAGCTGGAAACAACTTTCCCTCATATTAGTGTTGATATTTGGCCCATTACGTGGAAACAAAAATAGCTTTTACACAGTATACAGAGACGAAAAGAATAGCATATGTTCATGATAATGCTCACTATGTTAGTAAATTGCATGCAAACAGTGTTTTTAAAGCATTGTCCAGTTTTCATAGCAGATGTTTCACCTCAGTCATGCATATATTCTAAAAGTGTTAAATTCAAACCTGGCTGGTTGTGATGCAGAACATAAAACTCTTTCTCGGTGCATTGCATGTTTGTTCCTATGCATATATGTATTTTAAAGACGACAAAAAAAAACGGTTGCACTGAGGTGATAATCAAAAAAAGGAGGCAGTGTTTTTTTTTTTTTGTCACGAGGTACCACAACATGCCAGAAGCATTCACAGTAACATAATGTCAGAGTACCATAATGTCAGTCTGTAGATGTTAACATTACTGCATGCAGAGTTACTGAAGGCAATGTGAAGAACATCACTGAGGGATCTGCAGACTGTTGCACCGACTTCAAGAGCTTTTAATTCAATTGAAGCTTCGCAGGAATGTCATTAAAGCCAGTGACTGCTGATAGAAAATGAAGATTATTAAGAGTGTTATTTTTATTCCAAGCATTTCTTCTTTACTGGAGATGGACAGAATCTAATTTCAGGATGTACTTTGGAACGAAATACATCGGGATTTAGACGATATTTTAGCGTTGGCTATTAAGTGTTTTTAATATGGATATAATGTTGGAGCAGTCAATCAAATAAAAGCCAGAAAACGTTGGTAAATGATTTGGAAAGTGATGCATCCAAACATCACCTCTATCGCCATATTTGAAAAAAAAAAAAAAAATAAAATGTTCCCTTTTTTAATCAATTAGCAATATAGCAAACACTCTAAAGTAGGGTTAATAAAACAAATCAATACATTCTGCAATGTCAGCATAGCTTTGGTAAATCCTGATCCACTGTTACTGATTCAATTAAATAAAAAAAAAAAGGTTTTTTAAATATATTTCAATTAGGTTTTGTTATACTAGCGGTGATTTAATGGTGCGTTCACAGAAGCTGGGAATTTGAAGAGAGTACTCCGTTTACATGCAGTAGGATAAATCGTATTTTTTGTAATGAATTCCCTTTCTTTACTTGTTAGTAGCGTTCATTTCTGCGATCCTGTTTTGATTAGAATCAGCAGTTATTACAGTATATAAGATTATTTTATTTATAGTGATTAAGTGTGAAATGACAAGTCACAATGAAGCAGTTTTAAACTCAAGATGAAACTCATTGTTCCAGCTGGTGCAACAGCCTGCAGAGCCCTACGATAATAAAACATAAAATAAATGATATCATATGACGGCATTCTTGATTTTAACGAACCATTTAAAGACGGAGTGACGTAGTGTCCATTGGGGTGTTTTTCTAAATAAAAGCACATTGAGATTTGATCATATCATGCTTTCAGAGGATGAAGAAAAGATCAAATAAAATAAAGAAACTGCACCGACTGTGTCCCTGTTATATGATATATTTTCCCCACCCTTCCCAAGAGCAGCTGATCGAGAGGTCTGATACTTTACTGTGGTTTTTTTAGTTTTTTTTAACGTGTTTGGTCCCCAGTTCCTCTTCAGTTTTTACGGATGTCAGCGTAGACCACTGGCTCCATCTTGTGGAAGGAGCTCCTGCTGCCCGAGTGATCCAACTGGGCGTATATCACCGGGCCCTGCGGGGGAACGGGAGGAAAGGGGCATAAAAACATCAGTAAAAACCACTCAAATATGTATATTAGGGTGGTCCTTAGGGCCATGTACATTTTCAAATTCATTTATTTTAAGCTCCAACCACCGGAATTCGTTATGATAGTCAAGAAAACTCTCCTGGTGAATTCCAACAACATGTACCCCTCCCTCATCAACCTGGAAGTTTAGCCTAACGTAGGGTGGTCCTTAAAATTGAAAGTGGGAAAGTCTAAGCTCCAACCCCCACAATTCATTCTATTAGTCAAGAAAACTCTCCTGGTGAATTTCTAAGCCCCTCCCCTTCAGACCGAACCCAACTAACCATTCACCACCACCAGGGTCAAGCTAAGCCCCTCCTCTTCAGACCGAACCCAACTATCCATTCACCACCACCAGGGTCAAGCTAAGCCCCTCCCCTTCAGACCGAACCCAGCTATCCATTCACCACCACCAGGGTCAAGCTAAGCCCCTCCCCTTCAGACCGAACCCAACTATCCATTCACCACCACCAGGGTCAAGCTAAGCCACTCCCCTTCAGACCGAACCCAACTATCCATTCACCACCACCAGTGTCTAGACCCCGGGGGGTTTCATCGGGTCGGTTCTCCCCTCCCGAATGATACTCCTGCACAACGGGGCCTAATCGCCAAAACTCCATTACATTCATTTGTGTATTCCTGGCAATAAATATGTATTCCTATCAGAACCGTCTCTCTTGATTGAAATAGAATGAATTCTGGGGGTTGGAGCTTAGACTTTCCGACTTTTAAGGACCACCCTAATGTATGTATGATTAACACTCCTGAGACCTGGACAAAAAAAGGTTTAATATTAAGATTACATAATTTAAATAAATTGGATGTAATTTTGTGTTTTATTCCAATGTGTTATTTCCTGGGATTATCTTTTTTCTTTACTTAAATTAATTGTTTTAATTAACAATTCAATTGTAAGAAATATTTTTTTTCTCAAACAAATGTTTTATATAATTAATACATATTGATGATAATAACTATTTATTTTTAATAAAATCGTGTAAATATTTTTGTTGTTGTACCTTTTGATTATATTGCAATTAAAAAACATATATATATTTATTTTTACATGTTTTTCCCACAAAAAGTCCAATAGAAAACCAAAAAATAACCTTTTTTTAAATGTCATTTATATTTTATATTTTAATACATATAATATTTTGTCAAGATTTTCCTAAATATATTTTTTTTTTGGACAAAATAGTTACTGTTGGACTCATATTTAAGTTTTGAATGTTTAATTATTTATAAATGTAATTTATTCATTAACATTTTTAAATATTGACTCTTTAGAGATTACACAATTAGATAAAACAAATTAATTAATATGAATTTTGCGGGAAATTATCCAGATTTCATATTCAATCATTATATATTTTTGAATATATATATATATATATATATATATATGTTAAAGGTAGGGTAGGTAAGAATGGAGAAACCAGCTCGAGTGCGCTAGAATTTGAAAGTACACAACCGAAAAAAATCTGCCCCTTCCTTCAGACTTCCTCACCGAGCCCCTCCTCCAACACACACGAACGCGCACATGACCAATGAGGGCACGAGATAAGTTTGTGCACAGATGGAAGGCTGACAGGCAGGTAGGCCATCCAGTTATTTTAGCCGGGCCGGCTCAGATGATTGGTCGTGCTTTTTACAGTACCACAGCTTCCACAGATGATATTTATTTATGGATTTTTTGTCAAAGCATTTAATTTATTCATTGCTATCGGGATGTTAAGAGCATTCCATGGAATATAACAAAAGTGTTTCTGAAGTGAATTACATACCCCACCTTTAAGGTTATTAAAAATATATTTTCATTCGTTTTTTTCGATCAATTTTCGCCACAAAAATCCATTATATTAAAATGTTTTATTATATTTATTTAATATTCTGGTCATACATTTTAATTTGGTAAATGATTTAAAAATGTTTAACACATTCAAGGTTTTTATTTGAATTATTCATGAACTAAATTTAAATATTATTATAAGCTTTAATATTTTTTAAGATTGACTTGGGAAATTACACAATGAACTTAAATCGAAAATAAATACGAATTATGAAAAAAAAAAATCCATATTTCATATTCAAACATACCTTTTTAATTACATATTTAAAAAAAGGAACCATGTACTGAATAATACCCTGAATCAGTGAAATAAACTCTTTGGCCCCCCCAGCTCGTACCTGTACCGGCCCCGGGGGGTTGGGGCCCCTGGAGCTCTCCAGATTGACCTCCACCTTCTTTCGGGGCTTGGGAGCCTGAGAGCTCACGCTTTCCAAGGACGTGCATCTATTTTAGGTTTAGCGATTCCCCGGGTGTCGAGCAATCATTGGTGCACAGTCAAATGGAGACAGAGACAGACAGATGGGACACGAGACAAAAATAAATAATGAGAGATGAGACACGACAACAGAGAGGAGACTGGAGGTGCACTGATGGGGTTCAATTACCACTACAATTTAATTCAGAAAACACACTTTTTGTGTCAAAAAATACGATTTTATTTCTCTATTTTCGGGTGTTTTAAAAAACAAACCAAATTAAACGGCAGGGCTAGAATGATATATGTCAGATTAATTGATAATGTTGTATTACATTAAATTCATTAAATGTATTTTCAATAGAAGTTGTATTCATCTACCACAGGATAAGGCATGCTTTATGATGAAAAATGTGCTTATTATTTGCGTAAATTGTAAATTTTAATCTATTGTACAGTGTTTTCTACATGGGATTTAAGTCATTAATCAATATATAGATGGCCCAAGACAAAAATAACTATGATATTATTTATTTATATTATGGTGATATACAAATTAAACAGAACAGAGGTTTAATGGTTGGTCAAATACATCAAATTATTAGATTTTGTATGTATTTTCTTATTAATATTGTATGTATTAACAACAGGATAAGACACACTTTCTCATTAAAAAGTGCTTGTATCAGAATTTAGAGAATTTCCAATTGAAAACATGTCATTTCGGGGGAAATAACACACATTTTTGGTTGTTTTTATGAAATAAATACCAGAAAACGTCATCAGTGCACCTCGAGTCAAGACACTACAGTAAGAGAGAATAACTTTTCCTCCAAACATTTCAAGGTGATTCAGCAGATACTTTAGATGTACTTAATACTATGCTCGTTTAAATGTTGATGTGAATCAGGGCAGGGTGTCAAACTCAAGGCCCGGGGGCCAAATCCGGCCCGTGACTTCATTTTCTGTGGCCCCACAAGAGCTTGCAAAGAATAATACGTTTATTATACGGTTACATGCCGATTTACAGAAGCACGTTGCCCATAAACTACATGTCCCACAATGCATCTCAAATTTGACTTTTTTCTAAGAATTTTACTTTTTTTTCTTCTAAATATGACTTTTTTCTTAGAATTGTTTTTGTAAATGTTACTTATTTTTCTCCAAATTTCACTTATTTAAAAAAAAAAAATGCACTTTTATTTCTTTCAAATTTCACTTTTTTTTTTAAACTTTTTTTCCAGAATTTGGCTTTTCTTTTTAAAATCATTTTGTGACATTCTCACTGAAGAGACTTGCAATTATTTTCCCTAGACTTCTGCTTTCAGACGTAGTTAATTATGAAGTTATTACCCTATCCGATAATGATCCAATGCAGAGGAAAATAATGTAATATAATACATTATTTTATATATATGATATATTTATATATGTATTTTTATATATCTTAAAGTTACAACCGGCCCTTTGAGTGCAGCCATAATGCTGATGTGGCCCGCGATGAAATTGAGTTTGACTCCCCTGATGTAAATGAAGGATCTCAGTACTTCTCCACCACTGCTGCTTGACACCTTGAAACATTTCTGTTGACATTGAGGTTTTATTTTTAAAAATAAAAGCAATAATAAGCTGGTGATCGAGACGAGTTAGTTTGGAGTTTTAGTGGAAACATATGAAGAACAAGCACAAGAGACGACATGCAGATTAATGAAGTTAAAGAGAGTGTTAGAGGGAGGTTAAACAGGAATGAGAGGACAGAGACCGGCACCAGTGAGAACACCCACAACATCCCAGAGATAAAACCAGCCAGGAGCTTTTTTATTAATTTAAAGAGGTCTTACAGCGAATTTAAAGCATGCGAGGCAAACGTGATCAAACTACCTCAAACACAAAAAGGTAATTCAGTCCTTTGTCTCTATATTAGGGTTGTAATGGTTTACCAGGCTGTTAAAATGTAAGGTTATCGTACTGGGTCGTTTGTTTTTCTATGGTAATGTGCTGTATGTGCTGTAGTGCTGCTAAATGCTAATTAACATGCTTTATAGCTGTATAACGTACTTTAGTTACATGCAATATTATAACATGCTGTTCTCATTCAGGGGTTATATATATGTGATGTGTTCAGGTGCGTAAGGAGTTCTATAAGGACTCCCAGGGGTTATATGTGTTGTGTTGTGATGTGTTCAGGTGCGTAATGAGTTCTATAAGGACTCCCAGGGGTAATATATATGTGTTGTGATGTGTTCAGGTGCGTAATGAGTTCTATAAGGACTCCCAGGGGTTATATGTGTTGTGATGTGATGTGTTCAGGTGCGTAATGAGTTCTATAAGGACTCCCAGGGGTTATATATATATGTGATGTGTTCAGGTGCGTAATGAGTTCTATAAGGACTCCCAGGGGTTATATGTGATGTGATGTGTTCAGGTGCGTAAGGAGTTCTATAAGGACTCCCAGGGGTTATATATATGTGTTGTGATGTGTTCAGGTGCGTAATGAGTTCTATAAGGACTCCCAGGGGTTATATATATATGTGATGTGTTCAGGTGCGTAATGAGTTCTATAAGGACTCCCAGGGGTTATATGTGATGTGATGTGTTCAGGTGCGTAAGGAGTTCTATAAGGACTCCCACGGGTTATATATATGTGATGTGTTCAGGTGCGTAATGAGTTCTATAAGGACTCCCAGGGGTTATATATATGTGATGTGTTCAGGTGCGTAATGAGTTCTATAAGGACTCCCAGGGGTTATATATATATATGTGATGTGTTCAGGTACGTAATGAGTTCTATAAGGACTCCCAGGGGTTATATGTATGTGTTGTGATGTGTTCAGGTGCGTAATGAGTTCTATAAGGACTCCCAGGGGTTATATATATATATGTGATGTGTTCAGGTGCGTAATGAGTTCTATAAGGACTCCCAGGGGTTATATATATATGTGATGTGTTCAGGTGCGTAATGAGTTCTATCAGGACTCCCAGGGGTTATATGTATGTGTTGTGATGTGTTCAGGTGCGTAATGAGTTCTATAAGGACTCCCAGGGGTTATATATATATATGTGATGTGTTCAGGTGCGTAATGAGTTCTATCAGGACTCCCAGGGGTTATATGTGTTGTGATGTGTTCAGGTGCGTAATGAGTTCTATAAGGACTCCCAGGGGTTATATGTATGTGTTGTGATGTGTTCAGGTGCGTAATGAGTTCTATAAGGACTCCCAGGGGTTATATATATATATGTGATGTGTTCAGGTGCGTAATGAGTTCTATCAGGACTCCCAGGGGTTATATGTGTTGTGATGTGATGTGTTCAGGTGCGTTAATAAAAAAAATAATAATTGGGAAAATAATAATAATGCTAGTGATTATTAATAACAATACATATAATAATAATAACTTAATCATAATAGTGTAATACCTATACCATGATCATTTCTCAGGGTGTTATTGTACAGTGAAAATCTCATACCGTTATAACCCATACTCTAAACAAACATGAATGATTAGTAACAACATCCAATCATAACAAGTAAACAACAACAGATCAGACATCAAACTGATTTTCACGCAGAGAGAGAGAGACCCAGCTCCCATGCAGAAAGAGTTAGAGGTGTTACAGGAGGATGACTAAACCACTGTGGGCGTCACATATAACTATAAATACATTTATATATTCAAGAAAAAATAACTCGACCACACACAATGTGAGAAACTGAAAACACTGAGCATTATGTCGTATTATTATATTTGTTTAGACGTCTTGTTGTAAAGGTAATATATTATTGAATTCCTCAAATTAGAGTAGGTAGAGTTATTAAATAGGTAAACATATATGTAAGGGATAATGTGCAGCGAGGCGGTCATTATGGGGAAAAGAATAGTAGGCTATTATTGATTTAAATTGACATGCACCCGCTAAGAAAGATAGTCCGTTGTTACCGTTTGAACTACGTAGCAACGGCAGGAAGGCGGAGCTTTGTGATTACAGATTTGAAAACATCGTTGCTTGCTTTAAAAGCAGCACAATTCATTATGTCAAACCTTGGAAAGTATCTAGATATCCCTGCCCTAATGCCAAAGGAACTGGCAACTGAATATGTTTTGCCGTTTGATGTCTATGTCTGGACCGCTGCGTAAAAAGGAGGGTTTCTGCCCCGTTACTTCTCCGATGTTTTCTTGTCCCAGCCCAACTGTGTACAGTTCAATCGACCGGACTTCTTTCTGCAGATGTGAGCGTCCTTAACAACGGTCAATAAGTCCTTGACAGCAGTCTGTCTGTACTGGATTAACAACGTGTTCTGAATTGACCAATCAGAATTGAGTATTCAACTAAGCCATGTAATAAACCTTATTGACAACTTAAAGCTTATTTATTTAATTTAGATTATAATTCATATTGCAAATATACAACCTAGCGTCTTTATTGGTCTGATATAATAACGTATATATATATATTTCTTTATATAAAATGTAATATTTATGTTATATGTATTTGTTATTATGCCATCTTCACATCCGAATAAATACGACTGTTGAACTCTTGTTGTAAAGGTAATATATTGTTTAATTCCTCAAATCAGAGTTAATAAATATATATCTGTTTTTATGTATGCACCACGACATCAAGTCAAATTCCTCGTACGTGTAAACCTACCTGGTATCTGTTTCTGATATCTATTATATATGCATTTGGGAAAACACTATCCTATATCCATTATATCCATTATACTTTATATATATATTGAGGAGGGGACACTGACCCTTCGTATTCGTGGCGGCTGTGCATCACCCTCATGACGACGCAGGCGGCCACAGCGATGAGGACGAGCAGAAACAATGCTCCACAAACTGCTCCCACTATAACCGCCATGTTGTTCTGAGGGAGAGACTCTGGACGAAACAAAAACACACATGGTAGGTTAAAAAATACACACATTTCCAAATACATTTAAAACATGTCAACGCTATGTTTATTTTGGGGTATTAAAGGCAACTTTTTGTCTTTCTTCAGCACCTTTTTTAAATGACCTAACCCACATACATGGTACATTTCCTTTTTAGCAATAATTCCAACCTACAATTTGGTAATTTTAAGAAAAATCAAAACTGTCAGAAACCCAAAATGCAAGATAAATGACTCAAATATAAAAAAAATGATATAGTATGTTTGACTATTTATCCACGCTTATTTCATATACAAAACTAAGATATCAAACTAAAACAAAGCAGTTTGAAATGGTTTTAATGTTTTCAATTACTAACCTTTATTTATACCGATTTTGTACTGATTTTAAAAGATGTAGTACTTTGATTATTTTATTTATTCTATAAATGTTTACATTTTCTATAGAATAGAATTGGGAGGGATGAACCCCTCTGTAATGGTCACACATGCAGAGCACACAGCGACATGTGTTCTCTGCTTTTAACCCATCCTAGTACCAGGAGTCTAGTACCAGGAGTCTAGCACCAGGAGTCTAGCACCAGGAGTCTAGTACCAGGAGTCTAGCACCAGGAGTCTAGCACCAGGAGTCTAGCACCAGGAGTCTAGTACCAGGAGTCTAGTACTAGGAGTCTAGCACCAGGAGTCTAGCACCAGGAGTCTAGCACCAGGAGTCTAGCACCAGGAGTCTAGTACCAGGAGTCTAGTACCAGGAGTCTAGCACCAGGAGTCTAGTACCAGGAGTCTAGCACCAGGAGTCTAGCACCAGGAGTCTAGCACCAGGAGTCTAGCACCAGGAGTCTAGCACCAGGAGTCTAGCACCAGGAGTCTAGCACCAGGAGTCTAGTACCAGGAGTCTAGCACCAGGAGTCTAGCACCAGGAGTCTAGTACCAGGAGTCTAGCGCCAGGAGTCTAGCGCCAGGAGTCTAGCGCCAGGAGTCTAGCGCCAGGAGTCTAGCGCCAGGAGTCTAGCGCCAGGAGTCTAGCGCCAGGAGTCTAGCGCCAGGAGTCTAGCGCCAGGAGTCTAGCACCAGGAGTCTAGTACCAGGAGTCTAGCACCAGGAGTCTAGCACCAGGAGTCTAGCACCAGGAGTCTAGCACCAGGAGTCTATGAGCCACTGCTCATAGACTCCTGGTGCTAGACTGGGCAGCTGGGCAGCTATTGTACAGCGCCCGGGGAGCAATGGGAGTGGGGGGGGGGAAGGGGGATGTCCGGTGCCTCAGCAGGGCACCACAGCAGGGCAGGAGGTGAACTGGGACCTCTCCAAGTAGCAGTCCACACTCCATGGGTGTTTCTCAATCGCGAGTACGCTTGCTTGGTAGCACATGTCTGCCGAGCATCTTGCTTCAGAAGCGAGGCAAGAATACTTCCTGCCATTTGGAAAACAAAGAGTGGAACAGGCTAGCAAGTGTGCAGGTGTGCGTCATATGAGAGGCCCCGCCTCTTACATCTTCCGCCACAGATTTGGGGAAATTGGTCCGTGCGCAAAGCATTGTGGGGATTTTAAGACCGCGGAGTCTACTCATGTGCAGCCTCGATATTTCTCCAAACTGAGTACGCCGGGCTCGGTAGATTTCCAAGTATGCTGGAGATTGGAACAGTACTTCGGCGGCACTCGATGACGTAGTATGCTTGAAATAGTGGCTCTGAAGCAGCTTTACTCGAGATTGAGGAAACACCCCATATTTTAGGTCTGGTCGGGGACTTGAACCGGCGACCCTACAGCTCCCAGTCCAAGCCCCTACTGACTGAGACACTGCCGGCCTATCTTATGTTATGCAGCGAATGTATTTTATTTCAACCTATTATTTCCTTTTTTATCTTATTTGTATTATTGTTAGGAAGTGTGTTTTATTTTCTACAATGTTGGCACTTTTTTAACTGTTTTTATGTTTGTTTTTTCTCTTTTACCATGAGTGCAAAGCGATGTTTGTGGCATTACTAGTAAAATGGTATCTTCTCAGTAAAATACATCAACATAATGTGAGATGTGTTTTGAAAACGGTCCACAGACACACATGAGACAGCGTGAGTAAGCCCCACCTCCGCTCATTTGAACTGGTTTTCTCAGCTTCTACATGATGAATGAACACGGTTGTGGTTCTGTTCATAAAACACAGTCAGTGTAAAAGAGCAGCAGCAACATAACATCTTTGTGTTCAGTAAAGAAATACTGCAGTGCACCATTTGTGGGGGCAGAATAATAAGTAAACACACAACGTCCTCTATTTAGACTATGCACTGCTTTCTAGATACAAACGCTGGAGAAAGACCAGACTACCACCTGGAGGGAGGGGTGACTCACAGCTCAGCCAAAAGATAACAAGCCGTCACATGCACCGATACCGAGCAAACAAAAAACAGGAATGCACCTGCTGGATCAGCGTTTCTACGTTGCGTTAAACCAGATATCACAATAAAACTGACGGGAAAAGAGCCCCTAATATGCTTTTGGGGGTTTTTCCTTTCCTGTAGTGTGTTATATGGGTTTTAGTGCATGTAAATGGTCTGCAAACGCTAAAATCCCACTTATATACACCTGAACATCAGGAGGAGAGGACTCTTTAAAGTAGAGACACTACATACTGATATACACCTGAACATCAGCAGGAGAGGACTCTTTAAAGTAGAGACACTACATACTGATATACACCTGAACATCAGCAGGAGAGGACTCTTTAAAGTAGAGACACTACATACTGATATACACCTGAACATCAGCAGGAGAGGACTCTTTAAAGTAGAGACACTAAATACTGATATACACCTGAACATCAGCAGGAGAGGACTCTTTAAAGTAGAGACACTACATACTGATATACACCTGAACATCAGCAGGAGAGGACTCTTTAAAGTAGAGACACTACATACTGATATACACCTGAACATCAGCAGGAGAGGACTCTTTAAAGTAGAGACACTACATACTGATATACACCTGAACATCAGCAGGAGAGGACTCTTTAAAGTAGAGACACTACATACTGATATACACCTGAACATCAGCAGGAGAGGACTCTTTAAAGTAGAGACACTAAATACTGAGAGCTTTGGTACGGGGATCAGATGGTCACAGGTTCAAACCCCACTGCAGTCAGCATGTCGTTGTGTCCCTGAGACACTTCACCCCAAATTGCTCCTGTGGGGATTGCCCACAGTATTGAGTATGTAAGTCACTTTGGATAAAAGCGTCTAACAAGTAACATGTAATGTAATGTAATAAATAAAGGTCTAGTTTTGCTTAAATTATTTTATACTGCTCTTTTTTGCTGCAGTACACCCGTGTCAAACTTTGCAGAGACAAGAAGAAACAGCCACAAAATGCTGATACGATGGAGAGCGGCACGCAGACAACCAGTTCTGCAAACACCATAGTAACCAAGGTGTAACCAAGGTAAACAACTCCTGTCACCACCCTGTTGGAGAGGCACTCGTGCTGTGTGTGCATTGCTCTTGGCACGATCCCAACACAGAACATATTCTATTGCCTTCCTGCAGCTTATCACGTTAAAACATTTCAGTTTCTACACGTCTGACGAGGTTTAAAGACATGAGATCTGGAGATTCAAAAGGAAATCTTGTTTGGTTTAAAACTAGATTCCAAGATTGGTGCAGCAGCATTTCTGGATAAACCAATATTTAATCAAGGTTTTACTTTTAAACCAATACCAAATTAGTCTAAAACCTTCATTGTCGATAAAAAGCTACATAGACAGGAAAGAGTCCTCCTCTTTGCCTGGAAAAAGACTCGGATGTCTTTCCAAGGCCACACAAAGATGCAGGTACGTTTAGAAAAAGAAATCTCTTGTGTAATCAAACTCTTCTCAGCAACCTGCATCGAGTTGACCTGATTTTCATCTGAGAAAGAAACCCCTATCAATGAAGGACGCTGTGTGGAATGATACGGTGGGACCAAGTATATGCCATGTTTCTGAAAAAGTATTAACTATTGACGCATACAGGAATCGCATTATTTATTTTAACCTGATAATGCCACATTGGGATCAACATATCAGTGATGCAATCCTCTGGAGGAGAGCTAGTTAGCGTTAGCAGAGGTGGGAAGCAGTGGAGTACAAATACTTTGTTACTGTACTTAAGTACATGTTTCTGGTATCAGTACTTTACTCCACTACTTATTTTCCTGAAACCTTTTTACTTTGAATTCTTACATTTTGAACCCAAATACCTGTACTTTCTACTTCTTACATGTTGAACCCAAATACCTGTACTTTCTACTTCTTACATGTTGAACCCAAATACCTGTACTTTCTACTTCTTACATGTTGAACCCAAATACCTGTACTTTCTACTTCTTACATGTTGAACACAAATACCTGTACTTTCTACTTCTTACATGTTGAACCCAAATACCTGTACTTTCTACTTCTTACATTTTGAACACAAATACCTGTACTTTCTACTTCTTACATGTTGAACACAAATACCTGTACTTTCTACTTCTTACATTTTGAACCCAAATACCTGTACTTTCTACTTCTTACATGTTGAACACAAATACCTGTACTTTCTACTTCTTACATTTTGAACACAAATACCTGTACTTTCTACTTCTTACATGTTGAACACAAATACCTGTACTTTCTACTTCTTACATGTTGAACCCAAATACCTGTACTTTCTACTTCTTACATGTTGAACACAAATACCTGTACTTTCTACTTCTTACATTTTGAACCCAAATACCTGTACTTTCTACTTCTTACATGTTGAACACAAATACCTGTACTTTCTACTTCTTACATTTTGAACACAAATACCTGTACTTTCTACTTCTTACATGTTGAACACAAATACCTGTACTTTCTACTTCTTACATGTTGAACACAAATACCTGTACTTTCTACTTCTTACATGTTGAACACAAATACCTGTACTTTCTACTTCTTACATGTTGAACACAAATACCTGTACTTTCTACTTCTTACATGTTGAACACAAATACCTGTACTTTCTACTTCTTACATGTTGAACACAAATACCTGTACTTTCTACTTCTTACATGTTGAACACAAATACCTGTACTTTCTACTTCTTACATGTTGAACACAAATACCTGTACTTTCTACTTCTTACATGTTGAACCCAAATACCTGTACTTTCTACTTCTTACATGTTGAACCCAAATACCTGTACTTTCTACTTCTTACATGTTGAACCCAAATACCTGTACTTTCTACTTCTCACATTTCCCAAACAGGCTGGTTCCTTTAGTTTGAATGTGTGTTTTGTGGCGTGATCATTATTATTTAGTCATTGCGTGCCTATTGATTTGAACACGATCCGTGTATCCATCATTTCCTGGTCTTCTCTAAAGAAGAGGGACCAATGAAAACGTTGTCATGTTGCCGTTGTTCAGCATGGAAACATTCATTAGCTAACAATGACATTATTGTTCTATTAATATAAAGGGAGGTCAGGTACTCTTTAAAACAGCTGCTAGTTATGGGTACTTTTTACTGAAGTACATTTCAAAGCCCTCTTTACTTTTACTTGAGTAAAGAAGTATTTTTAAACACGAGTATCTGTACTTCTACTTGAGTAAAGGATGTGTGTACTTTTACCATCTCTGGCTGTTGGCTGTTCAAATGTAGGAAAAAATGTCATTTTTAGCAAGAAACTTGAATTAATAACGTTTTCCAAGCAATTAAAATGTACATATGAGAGTGGGTTAGGTTGTTTAATATTGTAAGTATGCAAAAGTAAATAAAGGAGTGCATGTCGAATAATTTATTGTTTTCTTTTAGATGTTTACAGTGGTATCGAATATTGTAGAATTGAATAAACTATTCTAATTTTATATAATAGCTTTTTAACTCTGTATTTATTTTTGGAGCAACTTTTAGTTTTTTGCCATGGCATTTAATACAATTTTCTTTAATTGTTACCAGTGTAATAATAATACAAATAATAGGTTAAATTTGTATAGCGCCTTTCAAGGGACCCAAGGCCGCTTTACAAGGTGAACAAACAAACAAACAAACAAACGGGGCCAATAATAAAGTAAAAAATTAAATAAATATTTACTACTACATTTCTGGTATTGTGACATCCTTATCAAAATAAATACATTTTAATTAGCTATCACCAGCTTGACATCAAATACCATTGCACTTAAAACCTTTGCAAATCACCCAATAGGATAACATTTGTCATATTTCGTACCTTTCAGAACGACCCTGAGCTCGGTGCGCGCCGGAGTTCCCGTCACGTCCGGCGGGTTTTTCACGTCGCAGAAGAAAGTCCCGTTGTCGCTGAACTGAGCCGGACTCAGCTGTAACGAGGCGTCCCTCTTATTTATGTCTCCAATAAACTGAACTCTGCCTTTGAACACGTCGTGACCCGGGAATCCTCTCCCGTTGGAATAGTAGAAAACCTACAAAAAGAAAGAAAGATATTAAGTTTAATTAAACCGTGTGAAATCAAACTGTGGATTGTCCCACTCTCAATAGTTTTAAAAGGTCAACTCAAACAATGGTTGAGAAACAAACAGACGTGCGATCACCACTAAATGCACTTTGATACAGGGGTATCCTCTCTTGCACTTTATGTATCAATGCTGCTATATTGTATTGCCATGTCATAAATACAAATTGTGTATTCTGCTATTGCTCTTTTCTTGCATTTCATGTATTTGTATTGCTATGTTTGTAAAGTTTCTTAAATGTTTTATGTGAGGGACTGCGGATGGAAAGTAGCTCAAAGCTAAATCCGGCATATAGAGTGGTGCAGTGACGCGTCCTAAAACCTGGAAGTAAGTTAGCATGTTACCACTTCCTGTTCCCTCGTCTCAGAGCCAATGGGATCTCTCCATAGGGTTTAGGAAAATATCTGTAAATAAGGTCTGTGGTTGAGACACATTGAAGAGACAGATCACGTTTTGTTCTAGGACATTAAATCCATCAGCAGTGACCCCACTGGTGATTTCTGAAGAGTTGACGTGTCTGAAAAACGATGGTTGTTACCAAGTGGCTGAATAGGACTACAGAAGTTGTGGAGGTCGTTGTACGTCATTACGCCGAACACGTAAACACTCCTCTAAGTTAGTTTGCCCTGTTCTACTTGAAAGCAAGTACCTGCCTCCTGCAAACTGTTCAAACAAACGCTTCAACTCGTACCATTTATAATCTGTGTGTTTGAATATGGATCTGAAGTTGGCGTGACGTTGAAGCAGCGACCCTGCTGTAGTTCCTTTATAGCATAACGTTAGCATTTTGCTTCTGGCGACTAGATTTATGATTAGAAAATTATAAAAGTAGAGTAGACATGTGGAGATTATCCGGCTGAACAAAACGTGATCCGTCTCTTCAATGTGTCTCAACCACAGACCTTAGTTCCAGCTATCTTCCTAAATCCTATGGAGAAAGTGCATTGCGTTTTTGTCGAAGGAACCGGTTTACTTTTAGGACGCGTCACTGTGCCACTCTATTTACGCTTGGCACATTTATTGTTTTAAGTGTTCATTAATGTGCAATGTCCTTACCAAATAAACGATTAAAATTAAAAAACTTGAAATTCACACAAATTATTCAGCCAAAAATTATATTTATTTAATATTCTTGTCATACATTTAAATTTGGTAAATTATTAAAAAAGGAAAAATAGTTACATTGGAGTTTTTTTATGTTCAATTGTTCGTGAATTAAATTAACGTATTATTAAAAGCTTTAATATTTGTAAATATTGACTCTTTTGAAATTACACAATAAACTAAATCAGAAAAATAAATAGGAATTTTGGGGGAAATATCCATATTTCATATTCAAACATAGATTTTTAATAACAAAATAGAATATTCTGTATATATATATATATGTCCTGTATTTCTGCTTTTCATTCATTTATGGGAAAAAAATAACAAAAATGTAATGTTTGGATTACTATTAAAGATTATCACATTAAAACATTTCAGTTTCTACACGCCTGACGAGGTTTAAGTGAGCTTTAAAGGTCCCCTATTATACTGTTTTTCATCAATATATCACAGGTCTCAGATATATACAGAACATGTCTCTGATTGGCTGAAACACCAAACAGATCATTGCAGCATTACCCATAATCCCCTCTGTTTCAGCCCTGTTTCCAAAGTGCTGATTCTCTGTCTGTTACTTTAGATGAAAATAAGGAGCCCCTCCCCACGCCCCTCTGAGAGAGATTTGGTTACAAAGAACACAATGGTGCTCTAGGAGGAGATTCAGGTGATAAGGTGGGGGGGGGGGGTTACCTTGGTTGCTGATTGGCTAATGGTTACACAAGACAAAACATCGTTATGACATCATCAAGTGGCCAAAATCTGATCAGCTCATTTTCAGACAGGTTTTTATAGAAATGGATCAAAAAGAGAGAGAATCTTTGTTCCTGAAACTTTCAGAGTCTCTTTCCACAGAGGGGACACATGCTGATGAAGAAGAGACATGAAGAAGAGGGGACACATGTTGATGAAGAAGAGACATGAAGAAGAGGGGACACATGTTGATGTAGAAGAGACATGAAGAAGAGGGGACACATGTTGATGTAGAAGAGACATGAAGAAGAGGGGACACATGTTGATGTAGAAGAGACATGAAGAAGAGGGGACACATGTTGATGAAGAAGAGACATGAAGAAGAGGGGACACATGTTGATGTAGAAGAGACATGGAGAAGAGGGGACACATGTTGATGTAGAAGAGACATGAAGAAGAGGGGACACATGTTGATGAAGAAGAGACATGAAGAAGAGGGGACACATGTTGATGAAGAAGAGACATGAAGAAGAGGGGACACATGTTGATGTAGAAGAGACATGGAGAAGAGGGGACACATGTTGATGTAGAAGAGACATGAAGAAGAGGGGACACATGTTGATGTAGAAGAGACGTGAAGAAGAGGGGACACATGTTGATGTAGAAGAGACATGAGGAAGAGGGGACACATGTTGATGTAGAAGAGACGTGAAGAAGAGGGGACACATGTTGATGAAGAAGAGACATGAAGAAGAGGGGACACATGTTGATGTAGAAGAGACGTGAAGAAGAGGGGACACATGTTGATGTAGAAGAGACATGAAGAAGAGGGGACACATGTTGATGAAGAAGAGACATGAAGAAGAGGGGACACATGTTGATGTAGAAGAGACGTGAAGAAGAGGGGACACATGTTGATGTAGAAGAGACATGAGGAAGAGGGGACACATGTTGATGAAGAAGAGACATGAAGAAGAGGGGACACATGTTGATGTAGAAGAGACATGGAGAAGATGGATTTTGCATAATAGGTGACCTTTAAAGTTTCAAAAAGGAAATCCTGTTTGGTTTAAAACTAGATTTAGAGATTGGTGCAGCAGCATTTCTATACCTTGAAAAAAATAAAAAATAAACATTCTGTATATACTGTATTTCTGCTTTTCATTCAATAATTTGACTACTGGTTATTTTTATATATTAAATATTGTAGATTCAGCACAACTCTTTATTTACTAAGTGTCACAAATGAGTTAACACTTATAACACTTATTCATTATGTTACCAGTGGCTGCCGGGGACAGTTTAAGCTCTTACAATAAACCATTATTATTTGAACATGAGATGTGTGGTCACCACTCACCACGCCCTTCATCATTACACCAGAAACTAATGACTTAACTTGCAGTAAAATAAACTGACTGACCGTATGATGATGATAATAATAATAAATCCTGCAGCTCTCGTCAGTAAAACCCTGTGTTGTGTTTACAAGAGAGCCGTGTGTTACAAGAGGCGGAACTAATCAGGGACATTAAAAATAACCAACCATGAGATTAATTCACGATGCTCAACCAAGATTGAGACACAAGATAAAGGAATGAAAAGCTCTTTCTGAAGTGTTTCTCAATGTCGAGGAAGGCTGCTTCAGAGCCACCATTTCAAGCATACTACGTCATCAAGTGCCGCTGAAGGACTGTTCCAATCTCCAGCATACTCAGTGTGTTTCTCAATCGCGAGTACGCTTGCTTGGTAGCACATGTCTGCCGAGCATCTTGCTTCAGAAGCGAGTCAAGAATACTTCCTGGCATTCGGAAAACGAAGAGTGGAACACGCTAGCAAGTGTGCAGGTGTGCGTCATATGAGAGGCCCCGCCTCTTACATCTTCCGCCACAGATTTGGGGAAATTGGTCCGTGCGCAAAGCATTGTGGGGATTTTAAGACCGCGGAGTCTACACATGTGCAGCCTCGATATTTCTCCAAACGGAGTACGCCGGGCTCGGTAGATTTCCAAGTATGCTGGAGATTGGAACAGTACTTCGGCGGCACTCGATGACGTAGTATGCTTGAAATAGTGGCTCTGGAGCAGCCTTACTCGCGATTGAGAAACACCCTTGGAATTCTACCGAGCCCGTCGTACTTCGTTTGGAGAAATTTCGAGGCCGTGTGTAGACTCCACGGTCTTAAAAATCCCCACAATGCTTTGCACACGGACCAATTTCCCCAAATCTGTGGCGGAAGATGTAAGTAGAAGCACAATAACACAAATAAACTAAATAAATAAACTAAGTATATAAACTCCTGCCGCTGAGACTGAACTGAAAGTAAAACCTTCTGTATTTGAACTCATGCTTTCACAGCGAGCGTTGTCCCCTGAGTTTGAAGCTCCTTCAGATAAAACAATGAGAGGAAACCATCGTGCAGCTGTGGGAAACATCCCCTCCCCACGTATGGGGCTTTGAGAGTGAGATTGTATTTGTTTAGGTCAGGTCATAATAGATATAAAGCCCCAATTTAATTGTATGTGATTATAATTGAAAATACACGCCTCCATGTGCAGATTATTATCAGCAGTTATTTTTGTGTTTATTGATTGTTGTCTTTCATTTAGGTCTTAATGTGTGACTATGTATACATGTGTAATTTGATTGTGTATATACATAATAATAAGAATAATACATTTATTTTGTAAGCGCTTTTTCAGGTGCTCAAAGTCGCTTTACAGAGGGAGTAAAAAGGGACAACAATCACACATTAAAAGCCAGTTTGAAGAGGTGAGTTTTTGTACGTTTGTTGAAGGTTGTGAGGTCAGTGCCGTCTCTGATGGGAACATATTTACATACATATTTGTTTTTGTATTCGGGATTGTGGGAAACGGTATTTCGATCTCTCTGTCTGTACACACAAACTGGAAGATTGACAATAAAGTTAACTTTGACTTTTGATGAGATGTAAAAAAAACAAACTTGAAAACCCCATAAAAAACATATTTGTATGGAGCTGTCTTTCACTCTCTTACCTCCATTTTTTTTCTTCCATTAAAAAGGTCCCCTATTATACTGTTCTTCATCAATATATCACAGGTCTCAGATATATACAGAACCTGTCTCTGATTGGCTGAAACACCAAACAGATCATTGCAGCATTACCCATAATCCCCTCTGTTTCAGCCCTGTTTCCAAAGTGCTGATTCTCTGTCTGTTACTTTAAATGAAAATAAGGAGCCCCTCCCCACGCCCCTCTGAGAGAGATTTGGTTACAAAGAACTCAATGGTGCTCTAGGAGGAGATTCAGGTGATAAGGGGGGGGGGGGGGGTTACCTTGGTTGCTGATTGGCTAATGGTTACACAAGACAAAACATCATGACATCATAAAGTGGCCAAAATCTGATCAGCTCATTTTCAGACAGGTTTTTATAGAAATGGATCAAAAAGAGAGAGAATCTTTGTTCCTGAAACTTTCAGAGTCTCTTTCCACAGAGGGGACACATGTTGATGAAGAAGAGACATGAAGAAGAGGGGACACATGTTGATGAAGAAGAGACATGAAGAAGAGGGGACACATGTTGATGTAGAAGAGACATGAAGAAGAGGGGACACATGTTGATGAAGAAGAGACATGAAGAAGAGGGGGACACATGTTGATGTAGAAGAGACATGAAGAAGAGGGGACACATGTTGATGTAGAAGAGACATGAAGAAGAGGGGACACATGTTGATGAAGAAGAGACATGAAGAAGAGGGGACACATGTTGATGAAGAGACATGAAGAAGAGGGGACACATGTTGATGTAGAAGAGACATGAAGAAGAGGGGACACATGTTGATGAAGAAGAGACATGAAGAAGAGGGGACACATGTTGATGAAGAAGAGACATGAAGAAGAGGGGACACATGTTGATGAAGAAGAGACATGAAGAAGAGGGGACACATGTTGATGAAGAAGAGACATGAAGAAGAGGGGACACATGTTGATGAAGAAGAGACATGAAGAAGAGGGGACACATGTTGATGTAGAAGAGACATGAAGAAGAGGGGACACATGTTGATGAAGAAGAGACATGAAGAAGAGGGGACACATGTTGATGTAGAAGAGACATGAAGAAGAGGGGACACATGTTGATGATGAAGAGATGAAGAAGAGGGGACACATGTTGATGAAGAAGAGACATGAAGAAGAGGGGACACATGTTGATGAAGAAGAGACATGAAGAAGAGGGGACACATGTTGATGAAGAAGAGACATGAAGAAGAGGGGGACACATGTTGATGTAGAAGAGACATGAAGAAGAGGGGACACATGTTGATGAAGAAGAGGTGACACATGTTGATGTAGAAGAGACATGAAGAAGAGGGGACACATGTTGATGAAAGAAGAGACATGAAGAAGAGGGGACACATGTTGATGAAGAAGAGACATGAAGAAGAGGGGACACATGTTGATGAAGAAGAGACATGAAGAAGAGGGGACACATGTTGATGAAGAAGAGACATGAAGAAGAGGGGACACATGTTGATGAAGAAGAGACATGAAGAAGAGGGGACACATGTTGATGTAGAAGAGACATGAAGAAGAGGGGACACATGTTGATGTAAGAAGAGACATGAAGAAGAGGGGACACATGTTGATGAAGAAGAGACATGAAAAAGAGGGGAAAAAAGGTGATGTAGAAGAGACATGAAGAAGAGGGGACACATGTTGATGAAGAAGAGACATGAAGAAGAGGGGACACATGTTGATGAAGAAGAGACATGAAGAAGAGGGGACACATGTTGATGAAGAAGAGGACATGAAGAAGAGGGGGACACATGTTGATGTAGAAGAGACATGAAGAAGAGGGGACACATGTTGATGAAGAAGAGACATGAAGAAGAGGGGACACATGTTGATGTAGAAGAGACATGAAGAAGAGGGGACACATGTTGATGAAGAAGAGACATGAAGAAGAGGGGACACATGTTGATGAAGAAGAGACATGAAGAAGAGGGGACACATGTTGATGAAGAAGAGACATGAAGAAGAGGGGACACATGTTGATGAAGAAGAGACATGAAGAAGAGGGGACACATGTTGATGTAGAAGAGACATGAAGAAGAGGGGACACATGTTGATGAAGAAGAGACATGAAGAAGAGGGTGACCACATGTTGATGTTAAAGACAATGAAGAGAAGAGACATTAGAGACATGAAGAAGACCGGGGCACACATGTTGATGAAGAAGAGACATGACGAAGAGGGGACACATGTTGATGTAGAAGAGGACATGAAGAAGAGGGGACACTATGTTGATGAAGAAGAGACATGAAGAAGAGGGGACACATGTTGATTGTAGAAGAGACATGAAGAAGAGGGACACATGTTGATGAAGAAGAGACATGAAGAAGAGGGGACACATGTGTGAATGATAGAGAGGACATGAAGAAGAGGGGACACATGTGATGATAGAAGAGACATGAAGAAGAGGGGACACATGTTGATGTAGAAGAGACATGAAGAAGATGGGGACACATGTTGATGTAGAAGAGACATGAAGAAGAGGGGACACATGTTGATGTAGAAGAGACATGAAGAAGAGGGGGGACACATGTTGATGTAGAAGAGACATGAAGAAGAGGGGACACATGTTGATGTAGAAGAGACATGAAGAAGAGGGGACACAATGTTGATGTAGAAGAGACATGAAGAAGAGGGGACACATGTTGATGTAGAAGAGACATGAAGAAGAGGGGACACATGTTGATGTAGAAGAGACATGAAGAAGAGGGGACACATGTTGATGTAGAAGAGACATGAAGAAGTGGATTTTGCATAATAGGTGACCCTTAAATATCCCCCTCACAGCACTCACCGTGTACGGGGTTTTGTAGAACAGGTTGTCGGGCTGGTTGGACTGGAAGGTCCATGTGACCGACGTGGTGCTGCTCACCACCTCGTTGGACCTGAAGGAGCAGCGCAGCGTCCCCGTGGTGCCGTTCTGAATCAGAACCTCCGAGTCCGCGTGGATATCGATCCCCGAGCAAGGGGTTGTGACTGTAAATACAAAAGAGTAAAATAAAATGTTTTTTTTTCATTTATCTACTAACTAAGAACATTTCATAAAATATAAAAAATATATATAAAACAGAAGTTAATGTTAAAATGGAAAATAAAAAAAATATTTTTAAAAAGATTCCCGAGTAAGGTACAATTAAAAACTGCCTTTTTTTTACATTACAGGCACATTTATAATAAGAATACTTTATTTATAACGGGTTAAAATTGGGTTTCATGAGAGCGGTGACACTTAAAATAACACTATGAAATAAATAATAAATACCACAAAATAATTAATATAAAAATGTGTAAACAGAAGAAGTTAAAGCAAGAATGAGCAATACAACAAATATAAATAATGGTATTTATAAAATAAAAAAGATAAAAAAAAAAAAAAAATTAATATATATTATAGAAACATTATAAGTTAAAATAAATTGTCTGAGCAAAAGATACAAATACATTAGAATAAAAAATAAATAATACAAAAAAACGTGCACATTGTTCTACAATATATTAGGGCTGCACGATATATCGTGTCGTGACGATAATCGCGTTATGCGCAATATTCACATCGCAGGATGTGCAATTTTTTTTCTGATTTCAGTATACGCCGTGAAGTGGTTTGCGGTCTGCCAGTAAACCCAAAGCAGAAGAAGAAGAAGTGACGTCAGCGGCTCATTTGCGTAATCCTCCTTCAGTGACTTATTCTGATGAACCTTTGTGGGAAAAGTACTGCGGTGTGAATGCGCCTATTGTGTATAACAATATTAAAGGTGGGGTAGGTAAGTTTGAGAAACCGGCTCGAGATCGCTAGAATTTGGAAAATACACAGCCGGAGAAAATCTGCCACTTCCTCACAGAGCCCCTCCTCCAACACACACGAACGCGCACATGACCAATGAGGGCACGAGATAAGTTTGTGCTCAGATGGAAGGCTGACAGGCAGGTAGGCCATCCAGTTATTTTAGCCGGGCCGGCTCAGATGATTGGTCGTGCTTTTTACAGTACTACAGCTTCCACAGATGATATTTATTTATGGATTTTTTGTCAAAGCACTTCAGATATTCATTGCTATCAGGATGTTAAGAGCATTCCATGGAATAAAACAAAAAGTGTATCTCCAGCCGGTTTCTCAAACTTACCTACCCCACCTTTAAATAGAGGAATTAAAAGTGGCATATTAATGAACATTAGGGACATATATCGATAAAGCGATATGAGACCAGATATTGTCTTATATCTCAGATGTCTTGATATTGCATACTTCTGTTTTGAAGGCTGCATTACAGGAAAGTGAGGTAATTTTCTGAACAAGCCAAACTGCTTCTCTGTTAATGTACCTTTGTCTGCTTAGTTATTATGCAAAGAGATAATGTACAGTGACAGTGCAAACATTATTTCTTTATTTTTTCCAGTTCGGCCTTGTTAGAGGAGCCTGGGACGCCCATTGTCATCCCTACGCTGTATTTATTGTGCATTGGACATTTCATAAAGGGGATGTGTGTTGTGTTGTTTCAGGTCCCAGAGAGACAATGCAAAACAGGAAGTCCTTTAGTTTGATAAAAGGATAAAAGGCTTCTCTGATGTGAACTCTGTAAAACTCCCAGGCAGGACAACAGGAGAAGAACACACTCCAAATACAGAGTTGATATGTAACAAAGACAGGCGGAAATTCGGTTAAACGTTACCGGTTCGACCTGCAATGTTTCACCAGAGCTGCACCAATAATTAAATGATTAATTTTCAAAGTATTTTTCCGTTCTGTTTTCAGAATCTCAAATATGGGGATTTTTTCTGCTTTTTCTCTGATTTATTTCGTATTAAAGTGAATATTTATTGTTGTTTGACGAACAAAACAAGACGTTTAAAGAAATAACCTCGGATTTTAAGAAGCTGGGATGGAATTTTTTTAATATTTTATGAAATGTTATAAACAAAACGACTAATCTGGAGAAAGTGTGTGGTTATCAGTTTCTCAAAGTGTTCAAGCGGCTTGTCTAACACCCAAGTATATTGTAACTATGACAATGTTAGATTTTTTATTAAGATACACAGTATATTTCTATAATTTACAAAAAAATACTCACATTTTTAACCCGACAAGTAACGCAAATTAGTGTTTTTATTTAATTTTGCAATCAATAACTCTAAATCTCGAATCACCGTGTTATTAAACTGTAATTAATTGATAGCTTTCTGACTTGTGATGTCCAGGAACTATAAAGGATATTAATATTTAATGTCTTCATGACCCTTGATTAATTCATCGTGGCATTAAAGCCTGAAGGTTAGAGGTAGTTGTGGCTCGGCAGCTGTTTTACTGTTCAATTATTCCATAAATTAATAATTTATTATTGGAATCATTTCCTTTGTCCTTTCAAAACTTCCTCATTGTTGATTCTGCTGTAGGAGGACTTTCTATTCGCTGTGTGCTAAAGCAGGAAATAAACATAAATAAACAGCGGAGGTCAAATCAGGAACAATTTAAATGAGATGATTGGATTTGATACAGCTTTAGTTTGTAGTACACGTAGAAATTAGTATTTTTTTTGAATAATTTTGACTATAAATCAGGTGTTATCTTATGGCGCTTTTCCACTGCAGGGCCTTGCTCGGCTTAGTACGGTATGGCTAGGCCTCGTTAGGCCTTGTTAGGCCAGGCTCACTTTATGCTGCGTTTCCATTACAGTTTAGGAACTGGGGCAGTAACTATAGTAACGCAGTGTAGGCGGAGCCGTGACGTCATCTTCAATGCAAAACACAAAACCAACATCAGCCGTTAGCTGTTAGCCCTCAGAGCTCACAAACCACAGACTGCCTGTGTCATGGTGAATACAGTCGCTGGTTTATTTATGTCTGTATAGGCCGTTGTTGTGAGTGTGGACGGTCGGAGCATATACTGCGTTAGCTTAGCCGATCTCCATTCAGAAAGCACGCATTTTAAAAGGTGTTTCGCCTGCCGTCTGTCTGCAGACTTGACAAAGCATTAATTCATGGTTTTTACTAACCGGTATCAGTATGTTGTTACTTCGGCATCATGTTGAAACGTGTATTACAATTAAATCACGGTCAAATATGTTCATCTTGTTGTAGTTGTCAGCGGTTCTCTCACTAGTTTAGCAGCCTGGTTGTTGGCCCGGAAAGAACCTCAATTTTGGAGAGCCAGAAAAACTGTGAAAAAGTACCCGCTAGCCGGAACTACCCCTAGTGGAAACGCAACCAAAAATGGCCGGGCACGGCACGCTTAAACCGTGCTCCACGCTACTGGAAATGCGCCATTAGTCAGTCAGTCGGGGCGTGGACTGGGAGCTGTAGGGTCGCCGGTTCAAGTCCCAGACCAGACCTAAAATATGGAGTGTGGACTGCTACTTGGAGAGGTCCCAGTTCACCTCCTGCCCTGCCGTGGTGCCCTTGAGCAAGGCATCACTTTAACATTTACACCGAGAGTAAGAGGGCGCAGCGCCTCTGTTACCTGATTTAGAAAACACCCTGATCTAATATTCTACTCATTTGACTGTTGCAATGATCAATTCAAATGCTTGGATAACTCATTATTCCACCCAAAGACAACTTAAAGGCTCTGTGTGATTTGAAAGAACAAATCCAGATCTAATTCTTTACAATTTTGCCAAAAGTCAGGATGCAGAAAATAGAAAAAAACGTTTCCTCACATAACGTGGTTTGAAAGCGTTAAGTGCTGGATAGTTGACGGATTAATAATTCATAACACTAACCTCTGAATGAGAAATCTTTGACAGCGCACTAAGCTGAACAGATTTACGATTGTACATTTTTAAAAAAACAAGTCACTACTTCGACAAACAAACGCACACAACGTTCTAATTTTCTCACAAATAAGATAATCTGTTAGTAAAACAGAGAGTTCAGATACTTCCTGTCTTCTGCCCTTTTTGAACAGATATTGCACTAATGCACACTGACAGAGAACCAGACCCTAGCAGGAAGTACTATATGATTTAAAAACAGAAGAAACGGCTCCGTCAGCATCTGGTTGGAGATAATGTCCCAATATGAAACGGACCTGTGCGGTTTTTTGGCCAGTCAAGCTTCTATTAGTCGGAGATTTTAAGCACTTCTCTAAACAAATCAGGAAGTTACTTTGCATTATTTCAAATGGCTGTATTGTGTAATATTCAGAAATGTGTAAAGAAACGTGCGTGTGTATAAAACGTTACGATATCCAACTTTAAAGCTGTTGAGTCTAGTGTTAAATAGGACCTTTACTTGGACTTTTATCATCTGCTTAAACAAAGTATTCCCAGTCTCTTCTCACAGTCTTATATAGAGTTTCAAATGATGGTTGAAAAGAGCAGACTCACACACTCACAGTAATATAAACCTTGTATAATGATGTCGTCCCAACCCAGAGCTACTAAGGATGTGAACAAATGTGATTTTATAACAGCACCATTATCCCTTTTGTCTATAGTTTCATTTCTTTATAGATTCCTTCTCAATTTGTCTGTGTGAAGAACAGTCAGCCTGCACGGTTTTCAGTATCAACGCAGCTGTTTTTAATTATCAAATCAAATCAAGTTTTATTTATATAGCACATTTAAAAGCGATTTTTGGTCGAGCCAAAGTGCTGTACATGTAACTTCACTACAATCACAATAAAAGACAATAATTTCTAACAGAAATATAAAAAACAAAAACACAGGGAATAGTCAGGTGTCGTGCTCCGCTCTAACTAGAAGGCCAGAGAGAAGAAGTGTGTTTTTAGTGATGATTTAAAAACCCCTAGGGTCTGGGCCGACCTCACATGGAGGGGCAGAGTGTTCCAGAGCCTAGGGCCAGCTGCTGAGAAGGCTCTGTGCCCTCGGGGTTTGAGCCTGGTCTTGGGCACTACCAGCAGCTTTTTGTGGCCAGTCAGAAGACGTGCAGCTGCGCTCTGAACTAGCTGCAGGCGTTTAATTGAGGCCTGGTCCATACCCACATACAGAGCGTTGCAATAGTCCAGTCTCGAGGTAACAAAGGCGTTAATAACCCTTTCTAGGTCTTTAAAAGATAAATACGACTTGGTCTTGGCCAATAGTCTTGTAGTCTAGTCCAACGGTCATTATCTCTAATGTAGAATAGCAGCCAAATAACAATCATTTTGAAATATTGCATTAGTTAACCCTAGTTGTCTTTAATTGTGCAATATAAATAAACAGACTTGACTTAATGAGGATATTACGTTGTTAAACATTAGATGCATTAATGCCCAATATGCCTATATTACCAGATCCTTCCTCAGTCTAATCTAAGTAAGGATCAGAATGATAACTAGGGGTAAAACATGTCTATTTTTATGCAAAAACACCATTTATTAAAGATCAGCTGAGAGTTTTGGAAGCCAAAAACCTTTGTGGTGTATTTACACGTAGTTTAGAGACAGAAGCCTTTATTGTGCGAACATTTAAAGTAGATTTGTGGACAACAGGTTTGCTGCATTTACTGTATATTTTGCATTTATGACGGTAGCTTTACAATCTGGGTCAGGAAAAGGTTGGCCAACAAGGAAATTAGATGTTATCTTATGTTGTTGGACGCTAAGAGCTGAAGCGGTACATCTTATCTAAATACAATCAAAATAACAATTAGTTCGTGCTGAACATAAGGGTATTTTATAGTGAAAATGACGGAAAATAGTGTAAATAGTGAGCTAAGTGGTGGATGTTAGCGAAGTACATTTACTTAAGTATTGCACTAAAGTACTATTTTGACATGTTGTGTGTTCTTTACTTGAGTATTTCCATGTAATGCTACTTAGATACTTCTACTCCAATACATTGCAATGCAAATATTGTACTTTTTACTACACTAAATGTAATCTAACAATCATAGTTACTATTTACTTTGTACATAACAAACACATCATTTGCTGATATGGTATAATGCAGTACTGTATAACGACTCTACCGTGTATTTCAAGTATCTAGATTGCTCCACATTGACAAACTACATTACTTAAAAGCTCTTACATGTATAAAGAACTGGATAATATAATAAACATAATAATATAATACTGTGAAAAGATCCATTCTTATTACTTTTGATACCTAAAGTACACTTAGCTTAAAATACTTCTGTACTTTATATTATTCTGGCCATTGTGCAGAATGAGTACTTTAGCTTTTTGTACTTTAAAGCTAATACCTTTGTACTTTTACTCATGCAACATTTTGTAACAAGACTTTAACTTATAATGGATTCTTTTTGAGACCATAGTATTTGTACTTTTACTTATAAGTACAAGATCTGAGTACTTCTTCCACCTCTAAACTAGTAAACCCTGGGGCGACACGTAGTGACCTCACCGAAGAGCCCCACGCCTAACGACACCATTATTCACAAACATGGCACTTTAATGTGTCTGTGTGTATCATCAAAGAAACTTACATGATAGCACACATGTTTGAACTTTGTCTGTATTATGAGAAGTCACTTTACAATTCGGCATATTAAAAACACAGAAATAATCCCGTAATTTAGGTAAATATGACTGTGAAGACATGGGTGAAGACCTGTTTACCGCTGAGATCACACCGTTACCTCCCATAGAACGTGACTATAGCAAGGGCGGTAGCTACCACTCTGAACCAAACCTCATTCAAATGATAGTGAATTTAACTATAAACTTCAATTAAATACCCTATACATGTACCAATAGGTGTACAAGCATAGATGTAGCTAATACTGTATATATAGATGATTCCGGCATTGTTAATTATCATCTCTAGCAACAGGAAGTGAAGAAAGGTGCATTAATTAGTAAGAAGAGTTTAGAGGGGTAGCCACCACTCTTTACTAAATCTCACTCAAATCATAGTAAATGTAACTATTAACCTTAATTAAATAACCTTTACATGTTACCAATAGGTGTACACGATTAAGTAGCTTTAACACACTGGATACATGTTTTCGGCAGTGTTAAATAAAGGAGAACAAAGGTGCATTAATTACCACTCTACACCAAATCCCCCTTAAATTATAGTGGATTTATCTTTTAACCTTAGTTAAATAACCTTTACATGTAACCAATTAGTATAAAAGCATGTATAGAGAAAAGACTCCTTATAAAGATGTTTTCGGCTTGGTTTAATATCGTCTATAGCCACAAGAGGTAAACACTATTCACCAAATCTCGTTTAAATTATAGTGCATTTAACGATTAACCTTAATTATATAACCTAACATTTACCAATAGGTGTGTGCGTTTAAGTGTAGCTTAAAATCCCTTTATGGATGTTTTCGGCAGTGTTAAATCTCGTCTCTAGCAATAAAAGGTGAACAAAGGTGCATTAATTAGTAGGAAATGTTAGGTTTTAGGTGCTGCTGTACATGAAACAACGCTAGCTAGCTAACCTGGTGTCCCACCTTAAATAAAGAGGCTAAAATCAAACACATCCAAATTCAAATATAACCCAAGATGGGCTTCAGCACTCACCTAATACAATACATAGCGTAAATCCAGTTAATAAAACCCGCCTGCAGCTCATATTTGACCATTTTGTCTCCATTATGTTGTTGTAAACAGGAGGAGTTCCTCTGCTGTTTTTTTTTCCTCCACCCTGAATCGTTTTTCTTCTTCGTGGGAAGTTTTGTCGGCGGGGTTCGAAGTTGTTAATGAGGAGGATGCCCCCTGGAGGCTGAATAGAGCTATTACAGCTGCCATCTGAATTCTAAAATAGATAAAGTAATACAATAAATAGTCAATAATAAAATGTAAAAAAATAATAATAAGCGTAAAAAATAATACATAAATAGCAATAAAAAATAAATAAAAAATTAAAGTTTAATAAATAAGATAAAATTAAAAATGTCAAATATATAAAAAAATCATATCATATATTATATAGTTTGTGTCTTTATGTACATCCTCACATTTCTTTAAAAGGCTATTACAGCGGTCACCTGCATTGTATAGTAAGATAAGGGCTTATTTGATTATTTCACAGTGATAAACCTGCAGCCTCTCTTCCCCTTCTGAGCTGCTGGACGTCAGTGTGTTACTACCTGAGCAGACTGTGTGTTCTCTCTGTGTGAGACGTGGTACAGTAATTAGATGTGAATAGGTAAGGAAGCTGTTCTATAGTTTGCTTTGTTTTGTAAATTGTCTGGTGAGCCCTCTTTGTTTTGAGTCATTAAAAAAAAATCTCTTCTCTTTAAAACCCTAGACTATTAGGGAACGTAACAGATGCATGTAATGTAAACAGAAAAATAACAGCCAATATGCAGCAGGGAATTTGACAATTTGTAAAGGCATGAAAGCCTCAGAAAATTACAAATATTCAAGTCTTTAGATCAGGGGTGTCAAACTCAAGGCCCGGGGGCCAAATCCGGCCCGCGACTTCATTTTCTGTGGCCCCACAAGAGCTCTGAAAGAATATAATATGTTTATTATACGGTTACATGGCGATTTAAAGAAGCACGTTGCCCATAAACTACATGCCCCACAATGCATCTCAAATTTGACTTTTTTTTTTAAACTTTTTTTTCCAGAATTTGGCTTTTCTTTTTAAATCATTTTGTGACATTCTCACTGAAGAGACTTGCAATTATTTCCCCTAGACTTCTGCTTTCAGACGTAGTTAATTATGAAGTTATTACATTATCCGATAATAATCCAATGCAGAGGAAAATAATGTAATATAATACATTATTTTTATATAGTCTTGAAGTTACAACCGGCCCTTTGAGTGCAGCCATAATGCTGATGTGGCCCGCGATGAAATTGAGTTTGACTCCCCTGGTTTAGAAGATGTATTCTTGTTGTTGTCAAAACAGTTGACATCTTTACTGAAACCCATGCACATAGACTCTATGTGCATTTTAGATTCCTGTAGCTGCTGATTTATTATCAATTAAAAGAACAGAGATCTGGATCAGGAGTGTTTTATTTTAGACTGGATGCCATTTCATTTGTCTAACCCTCGTACAGATATTACAATGTAAAACATGATAACAATGCTTTAAGTGGAATGATAAAAGCTGCATCTGAAAGCTCAAACTGTGCACTTTCAATCAGAAATAAGTGGTTAATATTGAGCGAAAAATGTACATTTAACAGTAAAGTGCAAACACAGAATACAAAGATCTTTTTCTGGTTCTTTAAGTACAAACACTGATATTTAAAATAAACGATTTGCATGATTATGTCTTCATGAACTGACTACGTTACATTTATGTTATGGTAGGGAAATTGAAGTTTGCATTTGTCATATGATGTAAATCAAACATTGCTTAAAACACAACAAAAATCTGATTTGCTCACAATTCAAACTCACCTAAACCACGTACTGTATGTATACCTCATAATTAAGCTGAGTGTCATTTTTAATTATTTAAACCAGGGGAGTCAAACTCAATTTCATCGCGGGCCACATCAGCGTTATGGCTGCACTCAAAGGGCCGGTTGTAACTTTAAGACTATATAAAAATACATATATAAATATATCATATATATAAAATAATGTATTATATTACATTATTTTCCTCTGCATTGGATTATTATCGGATAAGGTAATAACTTCATAATTAACTACGTCTGAAAGCAGAAGTCTAGGGCAAATAATTGCAAGTCTCTTCAGTGAGAATGTCACAAAATGATTTTAAAAGAAAAGCCAAATTCTGGAAAAAAAGTCAAAATAAAAAAAAACAAGTGAAATTTAAAAAGAAATAAGTGCATTTTGTTTTTTAAAGAAGTGACATTTTGAAAAAAAAGTAACATTTACAAACAATTCTAAGAAAAAAAGAATATTTAGAAGAAAAAAAGTCAAATTCTGAGAAAAAAAGTCAAATTTGAGATGCATTGTGGGACATGTAGTTTATGGGCAACGTGCTTCTGTAAATCGGCCTGTAACCATATAATAAACGTATTATTCTTTGCAAGCTCTTGTGGGGCCACAGAAAATGAAGTCACGGGCCGGATTTGGCCCCCGGGCCTTGAGTTTGACACCCCTGATTTAAACGCTAAAAACCAAGTAGTAATCGCTGCAGTTTGAGCTTTCAGACAAATTCAAACATCCATCTAACTTTTCAACATTTACTCCATAATCTTGGGGATTTAACGTACATGTTTTCATATAATCCAGCAGTGTTAGATCAGAGATTATTGAATACAAATCAGTGAATGTCTGCGGTGATGAATCTTCATATTAACGCCATATGGGCCACGAGTAAAATGAGTTACTGTAAAGAGACAAACGTTAAATTAGAGGGTTTTAAATGTCACAAACACACCAAGCCGTAATGCAATAAGGCCTTTTCAGAGAAGAAACACATCATGAATATTATCTACTTTCACCATTTCTCCGCTCACAATCAGACACACGGTATTTCTGTCAGTGCAACTTGATATTTCTGGATCATTCATAAATATCAACGTCAGATATCTACAGTATAGACAACATGAAGGAAATGTAATACATGCACGTCAACAAAGGAAAACGGTAATCAACATGTCCTAAAAGCTGCGTGATTATATGGATATTGTTTTAATCACAATGCAGAGAGAAGTCCCCCTTTATCACTTCAGGATGATTTGTTTTCAATAGAAGTTCATTAGTGCCGTTTTAACCATTTAAAGTAACATCGAGGGACCGTCTGTATTCAAAGCAGACTGCTGGGAACAAAACAAAAACAATTGAATTTAGTTAATTGGTGAAATCCTACTTTTCTGTCTGCATGTTTGAACATCAAGAATGTTGTTAAAACTAGTCATTTTCCACTTTCTTCAGCTCCAGAAGTCTGTATTTCTTTATATTTTCTCTTAATATTTTAAAACTGCAGCAGCTGCCACCTCTTGCGTCGGGAAATAATAATTGTCAAATATGCCACAAAAAAAACCTCCACTTCCTTAGACCAATTCAAAATCATTCAATGTCTTATTAAGGGGCAATGAGACTCCTGCTGTTTAACACCCCAAAACACACAGATTTCATGTGTAATCTTGGAGTTTTAAAATCCGTATTTTTAGTTAAACTGCCTTGATTAAATATGGTTAATTAAAAAGCACAATTTGTCAATTTAAGTTTGGGTAAAAGCCTTAGGATGCTTCATTAGAAACAGAACGTCTGAAAGCGTCTGAAATACACTTACATCTGAGGGTTATTATTATTGCAATTTAAGGAAAACACACACTTTTTACGGCTTTTGTGTCGAGGTGTGAAGTACTTATTTTCACTGTAAAATCGATGTGAATTTAACATCTGAAAATGTCCATTTGTAAGATTTGTTTATGTTACGAGAAAAACTATTATTTTCTTTTGAGTTAGACGTCTTTGGGTAAAGTGTAACCACGTCGTACAACCTGGTTTGTTTTCGCAATGCAGATTTTTTTGTCCAGAAAAGTTACAGAAAGATCCGCGTATTTTAATTTAAGAACTTTCTGATTGCAAAGTCTTAAGAATACAGTTGTCTGTTTTAATAATACATCAATCACAGATCAGTCTTGGTTTGCTTTCTAACACCCTGACACTTTAAAGCTGGAGTAGGCAGATTTGTTCTTGCATTATTTGGCAAGAATTCATCATATTTTGAGCACATTCTCCTTCAAGTCTTAGCCCAGGGAAGGCAGTTTTCTGGAGAGGCAAACATTGAACGTACAGCCCTCCATCTGTCAAGCCCTTTGGGAATAACACGCTATGATTCAAGAATAAAGCTATCTGCAAAGCGTGCCAGGTTTCTCACTTTCTCTGAAACGCTTCCCTGATATTAAACAGCTTCTTGTTTCGGGGTTTCTTTGCAGTGTCGTTGCCAATGCATAAAAAAAGCCACTTATTCTGCAGGACTTTCCTCCTTTGTATCAGGCGTTTAACTTCTGAACTCACCATGCATGCACGTCTACTTTTGTTGAACAGCCAATAGGAATGCTTTCTCTCTGAAATGATGTGTGATTGGATAATTGGTCGCAGGCTAGATTTGATAAACCCTGAAAACAGCAGGAGTCTGATTTTCAAATAAAGCTTGAATTACAATATGCTGAGAGGTTATTGTGGATTATTTATTACACAATAACGGTAAAAGAAACTCTGCATAACCCAGCTTTAAAAGTGTTGAAATGAAACCCATTTGTAGCCTCAAAGTGGTGATTAATTAACCTTGGAGACACATCATTAATACGAAAAGTTATATGAATTTTGTTGGGATTTTACCCACTGAATTCTCCCTCTTTTAAGTGTCTTTGAATGAGCAGCTAATTGCTCATTTAAATTACGCTAAGGAACTCAAATAAAGGAACCAATCAAAAGGAGCGAAACGCGGTATAAAACCCACTTTACACTTCCTCTGTGTCTTCATGATTTTCAAGAAGGGTGGAAAATAAATCTTTGAAACAGGACATGGATATTTCTTCACTGTGTTTGAGCAGCTTTTAAAAAATGTCAGATGTGAGGAGAGGATGAAGGGTGTTGCCGAAATCCTGTTCTCAGTTAAATTATGTGCAAGTGTTTCCCATGAGTGTCCTTCATCGTGTCTTTGTCACAGGGCGAGAATGAGCCAAAACAAGGAGGGAAAATGTCACAGAACAAAAACAGTGGAAAGGAAAAGAGGAAGCGAGTGGAAAAGGGAAGCAAGGACGAGGAAAATGTATGCATCCAATTTTCGTCTAAATTGACCTGGAAAGAGACGATGAAAAGTGCTTTTAGACGACGACAAACCTTTTTTGGTTGAGCTAACACAGACGGAAATATATATCTACAGTAGAAACGAGACACAGGGAGACCCCTCCGTCAACAATCACACATTTACTTATTTACATTTTTCTTGTTTTAGTAGTAGTAGTGTTCTTCTTCATTATTCTATTATCCGCAGTGTGCTCTGTACACAAGAAAAAGGCTCCTTTAGTCCCTCCACAACTCTTCTTCTGTGGTGGTTAGGGGGCAGGAGGAGGAGGAGGAGGAGGATGAGGAGGGGGAATGAAGCTGAAGCAGTTTCCTGTCAGTGTCATCATGTGTCTGGAAGCTGGTTGATGTCAGTCAAGTTGGTGTCGTTGAGGATGACTTTGATTCGCTGCAAAGAGTCCGCCTGTCGTATTCGCTCCAGCTGAACCTGCAGAAACGCACAGATAACTCAGTTTTATTCAATTAAAACACAACAATTCCCTTTGATTATCCCTTTGGTATGTCTCCTGTTTACTCTGTTATTCTAAGGCCCCATTTACACGCAAACGCAAACGCATACGAAACGCAAACGAACCGAATACGATATCAAAAAAGTCTTCTGTTCACACAAGACCGCTCGGGAGCGCTGGAGACACTGTAGTACATATGCCGGGCCTGTAAGTGGCGCCACAAAATACACCAAAAGCAGCGAAGAAGACCCCGGAGCATGGTTGCCATGGTTGCCCTTCTGTTTATGCCCCGCGGTGGATTTAGCAACATGAACTAGTTCTCCATGTCCACTTGTTGCTGATGGTTGTGGTAGAGGACCTGTAGATTTTGCACTAACATCTGTAGCATGATCAGTAGCTACTGACAGTAGCTACTGATCATGCTACAGCAGTGAGCAGCAGAGGTGGGGAGAGGCGGGGCTATGGCTTCATCGTTATCAGGAAATAATCGTATAGGGCAGGGGTCGGCAACCCCTGGCACGCGTGCCACCATTGGCACGCGGCACCGTAACCAGTGGCACACTAGGAATAAGTGGAATAAGTGTGCAAAATATTTAAATTGTATTTTCGGATCCTGAACGAGACCGCCGCCAGAGCGCGTCTCCCCGTTACCTGCAGAAGGAAGCCATGCACGCAACGCAGCCCCACTCTGTTTAGCTCCAGGCGACTTTCTGTCGCTTTCCTCCGTAATGCAGTGCTGATCGTTTCACCACAGAGGAAAGCACTTCACAAATTGCAGTACCCATAAGGAGCTGTAAAAATACCGCAGTTTTTGCGTGGCGATCAATATCGGCCGATACTCACTCTCTGCCGATCGATCGGTGCTCTCGATCGCGAGACGTAAAATACATGACACTTTTCTCTGTGTGCGGCAAAACAAGCTCGCCAAAATGGCTTCACCAGTCTGGCAGTATTTTAAGGTGTCCGAAAATGACAATAAAATAGCGGTGCAACGTGTGTGAAGCAGAAATCCTGCAGCTCCACCCGCTGTGACGGACCGGTGAGCGGAGCAGAACACACAAGAGTTAGACCCTAATGGCGCGTCTCCACTACAGCGCGGAGCACGGTTTAAGAGAGCTGTGACGTCAGCGGCCCGTTTTTGGTTGCGTTTCCACTTGGCCTAGTACCGGCTAGCGGGTCCTAATTCACAGTTTTTCTGGCCTCATAAAATCGTGGGTCTAGGGCCAGAGACAACGAGGCTGAGTCGGGCTGAGTATGCTAAACTAGAGAGAGCATCGCTGGCAAGGGGGCTACAACTACAACAAGATGGACATATTTGACCGTGATTTAATTGTAATACACGTTTCAAAATGATGCCGAAGTAACAACATACTGATACCGGTTAGTAAAAACCATGAATTAATGCTTTGTCAAGTCTGCAGACAGACGGCAGGCGAAAAACCTTTTAAAATGCGTGTTTTCTGAATGGAGATTGGCTAAGCTAACGCAGTATATCCTCCGACCGTCCACACTCACAACAACGGCCTATACAGACATAAATAAAGCAGCGACTGTATTCACCATGACACAGGCAGTCTGTGGTTTGTACTTGTTTAACTTTTGTCTAGTTTCTGAACATATATAAGGAGCTGTGAGCTCTGAGTGCTAACAGCTAACGGCTGTGTTGTTTTTCTGGGGTTCTCATTGAAGATGACGTCACGGCTCCGCCTACACTGCGTTACTATAGTTACTACCCCAGTTCCTAAACTGTAATGGAAATGCGCCATAAAGTGAGCCAGTCCTAACGAGGCCTAGCCATACCGAGCGGGGCCGAGCGAGGCCGTGTAGTGGAAATGCGCCATAACACACTTAGCTATTTTATCTACCTCTGGAACTAGTTATAAATATATGTATTCTTCACTGTCACTCATTACTGGATCAATGAGCTGCATGAGATACTGACAGGATGTCAGGAGAGAGAGAGAGGGGGAGAGAGGAAAAGAGAGCGCTTCAGCTCATTTCTCCCGTGTTATTATCCAAAGTTAATGTAAACTTGAATAATGTACTTCATTTGAATGTAACAATTATGTTGGTTGTTGTTTGTGGAAGCGCCAGTGAATGAGCCCCATTAACAGGTCCACACACTGCTTCCCCGCAGCGAGGCTCCCCCGCCCTCCTGTTGACAGTTCACGAGCGTCGAGCTCTTCACCCCCCGCCCCCCTTGATAATTCACGATCGTCGGCACGCTGATAAAAAAATGTTTTTTTGAATGGCACTTCATATCAAAAAGGTTGCCGACCCCTGGTATAGGACGTACACACTGAGCCGTTTGGCCCCCAGAGCGTTCCGGTTGCAGATCTATCCACCTTGGGACCCGTTATCGTTTGCGGGGTCCGTTTCCGCGTTTCCGTTACGGCCTCGTGTGAACGAACGGGCTATACGAAAGAGAAAAGTAGCGGATACAACCCGTTTGCGTTCTCGTGTAAACAGCGCCTAAGGCTTCGGATCAGAGCGTTCACATATCCCCACTTTGTCTCATGATCAATTTTGTTTCACTCTCCTGCTTTTACTCATTGAAAACTGAAAAACCAAACCCATTTAAGCTCACAGACTCGAGGTGGAAAAGTAGTTTTAACACGGTGTGAAAACACTATTTTACAAACAAAAATCCTGAGTTTTTCTAAAGTGAAAGTAAAGATCAGCAAAATGCACTCAAAGAAGCTCCAGCTGAACCTGCAGAGCGCCACAAACAACTCAATATTACTCAATTAAAACACAACAATTCTTTATTTTTCATTATTTATTTTGAAACGATTATCCCTTTGGCATGTCTCCCGTTTCCTCTGTTATTCTAAGGCTTCGGATCAGAGCGTTTATTTCCTTCTCGCCTGCTTTTACAAATTGAAATCTCTGTATACAAACTACAAAACTAAAACATTTAAGCTGTGTTTGGAATCAGCCACAAAAGTAGTTTTAACACAATGTGAAAATCACTTTTACAAATGAAAGTCCTGAGTTTGAAATGCACTCAAAGAAGCTCCAGCTGAACCTGCAGAGCGCCTCAAACAACTCATTATAATCCATTTAAAACTCAAAAACACAATCAAAATGTTTTGTCCCGCCTTATATCACAGTTCTAGTTTGTAATACTGACTAAAAAATTGTCAAAATAATTTCTATTTAGTGTCGTTTTCCCACATTTATCCAAGGATGCATGCTATGGTTTCCTCTAACAAGTGGAATAAACATTCAGAATGATGTTTATCGCCAAGTAGGTTACCACATAAGAGGAATGTGTCTTGGTGTACATGGTTCATACATTTACAGTTATCTTTATTTTGTTGTTTGTCCTCATCTCTTAAACACTCTCATGGTACTAGGATGGGTAAAAAGCAGAGAACAAATGTCACTGTGTGTGCGCTGTGTGCATGAACATGTGTCCAATTCTATTCTATTCTAAACACTCCTCTCTCTCACCTGAAGAGTCTGAGAGAGTTTGACGAAGTCCTTCTGAACCTGCTCACTGACGTCCAGCTCCGTCTGCAGCCGCTGAGCTTTGTCCTTCTCATCCATCGCCTGAGCCTGGAGCGCACTCTGCAGGAAGTCAACACAACTAAGGTCAACGGTCTCAGATATATACAGAGCCTGTCTCTGATTGGCTGAAACACCAAACAGATCATTGCAGCATTACCCATAATCCCCTCTGTTTCAGCCCTGTTTCCAAAGTGCTGATTCTCTGTCTGTTACTTTAGATGAAAATAAGGAGCCCCTCCCCACGCCCCTCTGAGAGACATTTGGTTACAAAGAACTCAATGGTGCTCTAGGAGGAGATTCAGGTGATAAGGGGGGGGGGGGGGGTTACCTTGGTTGCTGATTGGCTAATGGTTACACAAGACAAAACATCGTTATGACATCATAAAGTGGGCAAAATCTTTGGAGAGGTTTTTATAGAAATGGATCAAAAAGAGAGAGAATCTTTGTTCCTGAAACTTTCAGAGTCTCTTTACACAGAGGGGACACATGTTGATGAAGAAGAGACATGAAGAAGAGGGGACACATGTTGATGTAGAAGAGACATGAAGAAGAGGGGACACATGTTGATGTAGAAGAGACATGAAGAAGAGGGGACACATGTTGATGTAGAAGAGACATGAAGAAGAGGGGACACATGTTGATGTAGAAGAGACATGAAGAAGAGGGGACACATGTTGATGTAGAAGAGACATGAAGAAGAGGGGACACATGGTGATGAAGAAGAGACATGGAGAAGAGGGGACACATGTTGATGAAGAAGAGACATGAAGAAGAGGGGACACATGTTGATGTAGAAGAGACATGGAGAAGAGGGGACACATGTTGATGTAGAAGAGACATGAAGAAGAGGGGACACATGTTGATGTAGAAGAGACATGAAGAAGAGGGGACACATGTTGATGTAGAAGAGACATGAAGAAGAGGGGACACATGTTGATGTAGAAGAGACATGGAGAAGAGGGGACACATGTTGATGTAGAAGAGACATGAAGAAGAGGGGACACATGTTGATGAAGAAGAGACATGAAGAAGAGGGGACACATGTTGATGAAGAAGAGACATGAGGAAGTGGATTTTGCATAATAGGTGACCTTTAAAATGTGATGTATCTTTACTGGTTGAATTAATGATTTTGTATCACAAGAAAGTTTACAAATTGCTAATATATTTATTGCACAGCCCTATTTATTTGCTCAACTTCACACCAACTACGTATTTTTAAGTTTAAACAAGCATGTACGACTAATTAAAGCAGCCATCATAACATTTACAACATCATGGCTCTGAAGTATCTGCCGACCTGGTCTCCTTTAAATGGTAAATGACGTTATGAAGAGGCTTCATCCTGTCTTTACGACTCCTTAAAGAGCTTTTCATTCACACTCCATTCATGCCATGCAAGATGCCAACTGCTCCAGGAGGCTCACGTTTCCACACACACACTGTTTCAGGTGACTTTGGTGTGTGAGGTGTGCAGGTGAGTGTGTGTCAATGACCTTTGCAGTGGAGAGTTCTCTGAGCTGCCGTTCCAGACTGATCCTCAGACCCTGAAGGTTCTCCAGAGTCTCCGTCTTCTCCGACAGACTCCTCTCAAACTACAGGAACCACAGAGTACATCAATAATACACAGAATACTGCAGTGTGTTAAATAAGTGTAGTTGAGTAAAACACACAATATATGCCTTAGAAATGTAGTAACGTAGAAATATAAGTAGCATCAAATTGGAATTCGGAAAGTTCACATTATAATAAATACACGTTTTGTAGTATGTGCTGAAACTAAACACAAATACAGTATCCAAATTATTAGGACATTATGGTGTTGGTTTAAAAACAATAGACTGATTAACTTCTAATTTTAGCAGTGGACAGTAATTAAATAGATTAGCTCAAGTACTGAACTTATTCAAATACTTGGTGGATTCTTGGGACATTTGCAGATCAATCTGAAAATCTGACGTAAAAGATACGCTCTCACTTTAATATTAAACAAAGAAAATGAACTACAGGAACCACAGAGTACATCAAAAACACACCCAAGTACTGCAGATAATACATTTGACCAGAGGTAGTGTTATGGAAGAGTAGAAATACTATGGTCTTAAAAGGCGCTCTATTATGTTATATATGTTTTTATATATATTACATATTCAGATTTGACTCACACAGAAGTTGTGTTTTTGTCTGCAAAATAGTGCTAACGTATCAAAAGTAAAAGTACTCCGTATGCAGAATGGCTTTTCCCCCATAGTATCATCCAACAACTGATGAAGAACAACATACACATGTCATAACATTTTAAATAAAATTATATTTGTAGTAATGTGTTTTTATTACATGTACAGCACTTTGGCTCGACCAAAAATCGCTTTTAAATGTGCTTTATAAATAAAACTTGATTTGATTTGAAATAAAATAAAACTTGATTTGATTTGTTTGAACAGTTTGGCAAAGTTAGTAGTACAGTACTGCATCATATCCTTAAATCATACCATGTGTTTTAATATGTAAAAAGTAGCTAGAAAATATGAGAGTTAACTAAATAAGTATATTTTCTTCTAAAGTGCAATACTTGAATAAATGTTGATCTGCAGGATATTTTCTAAAAGCCTGGATTTGCAGAAATGAAACATAAATACAGTGTTCAAATTATTAGGACATTATGATGTTGGTTTAAAAACAATACCCTGATTAATAGGGTTAATTTCTTTGACTAAAACTATGACGAAGCATGTTCGCCAACGACCTTTTTTTCCATGACTAAAACGAGACGATGACGAGACGGCACCGACGGCAGTAAACAATAACTGTAACGAAATCATCACGCAATATCGTTGACGAAAAGTGACGAGACGAAATATTATCAAAGATAACGTTACATCTCTGATAGTCAGTGTTTCTTGGGAGCAGTGGTCGCGTTAACCGAATACCCCCCCCCGTCCCCCAGTCCCCGTCAGCGCGAGTGAGTGACGAGTTGTGTACAGACTCGACGGGTAATAATGGGTTATGACGGAAATGTTACGATCCTGTCCGTCAAAATGACTGACAACGAAAAAGTCTAACGCCACCACTGCTTGGGAGAAAGAAACGATGTGATATTTGGGCCCATTTTCGCTGCAATGAGGCGGAGAAACAAAACGAATGCATTGTTTTATCAGAAGGGAAGCAATGTGGCCATACACAGGTAAAACACCACAAACCTGACCACTCTCTGCAAAGCTGCATTCTTAATCATTCAATCTGTGTTTTTCATCAAATAAGGACAAGATATAATCTTATTGTGAAATAAGTTTGACTAAAATGACAAATTGTTGGTTTTGCCTAGACTAGTTTGACTGAAATGTTCAATATAATCTGATGACTAAAAAAGACTCAACAGTTTTCATTGACAAAAAGTTGACTAAAATAATTAGTTTTCTTCGACTAAAATAAGACTAAAATGCTCAGACTTTTAGTCGACTAAAACTTGACTAAAATGGTTACTATTTTAGTCGACTAAAATAAGACTAACATGCTCAGACTTTTAGTCGACTAAAACTTGACTAAATAAAAACAGGATGAAGGTGACTAAATATGACTAAAACTAAAAAGGAAATTTAACACAGGACTAAAACTAAATTAAAAAATAGCTGACGAAATTAACACGACTGATTAAGTTCTAATTTCAGCGTCGGACAGTAATTAAGTAGATTAGCTCAAGTACTGAATTTATTCAAATGATCAGATCAATCTGAAAACACACATTTGTACCTTGCGCATTGGGTATTGTGTAACTGCATGTCGGACGCAAAAGACACGCTCTCACTTTAATATTAAACAAAGAAAATGGCAGCTGTCTGCATTGACTGAGCAATTTCATTTAGGTGTATATAAGTTCCAAGTATTACTGCATGTATGCATTACCTTTTCTTTCTCCACCTTTATCCTCTCCATCTCCGTCTTGAGGCTGGAGAAAGATGCTGTCGGAGGAAAGGAGACGATCACTAAGAGGATCGTTAACATCTGATTCGCTTTAAGTGGTCTCTTAAAAACACACATCTTTGCCAACACTTCAAAACATGTGAGAGAGACCACACACACACACACACACACACACACACACACACACACACACACACACACACACACACACACACACACACACACACACACACACACACACACACACACACACACACACACACACACACACACACACAACACACACACACACACACACACACACACACACACACACACACACACACACACACACACACACACACACACACACACACACACACACACACACACACACACACACACACACACACACACACACACACACACACACACACACACACACACACACACACACACACACACAGTGTTTCTCGTACCTTCCAAGATGTCTGAATGAAAGTAATCAACGGAAAGGAAAAGCAGAAACAGAAGAAAATGTAAAAATAATCCAGAAAGTAAAAAATATTCACGTTGGAAACATCCCCACAGAAGTTAAAGGAACAGTTCACCCAAAACTCACTGACATTGAATACAGTACAAGTTTCCCTAGGCTCTCTATGGTGCAAGAAAAACATAGATATGTATTTCATCGCGTTAAAGACAGCGGAGCGTCCGGGTCATTACATCTTATCAACGCAAACAGACAAACGAAAATAGGTCATAAAACGTCAGAAAAAACTTCTAAATGTGCCTTTGCAGTTTTATCCAAGAGTGTTTCATCCATGCAAGGACAGATGGAAATCAAAATACATATATTTTATCAAAAATCCAGCAAAATTAGATTTAAAGATTATCCTCGCACGAGCACAGGAAATTAAACAAGAGTTTTTTTGGACATTTTAAACCCTTTTTTTGCTGTTTTTCTTTTGTCTTTCTGAATAAAAGCGGTAATACTAAGGTCTTAAATGACAGATGTCAATATCCTGATTACAAAATGATACCACAATAGAATAACAGTGTGTTTTTGTTGGCAAAAAGTAATTAAAGTATCAAAACAATAAATAAATATAGTGGAGAAAAATATTTGAGTATGTGAAGTATGTCAGAATAATACTCGTGTAAACAATACTTACTACTAACAATACTTATATTAATAAACTGAGTATGGATTAAAAAAAGTAACTCATACAACCCCAATAAAAACATCTCTTCAACACCATCAAATAAAAAAACACGTTTTCTTAGAGAAGTTAGTTTTTGGCTGAACTAATCCTTTAAACGTGTTGAAACGAAGTGTATCTACCGTGTATCTGATGCAAGCTTATTAAACGTTCTCACCTAGAGACAAAAGTACTATATTTGCAGGGAAGTAGGCATTAAATGGTGAAGTATGTCAGAATAGTACTATAATAGTAAACAATAGAGAGGTGCAGTGACGCGTCCTAAAACCTGGACGTAAGTTAGCATGTTACCACTTCCTGTTCCCTCGTCTCAGAGCCAATGGGATCTCTCCATAGGGTTTAGGAAACTATCTGAACTAAGGTCTGTGGTTGAGACGCATTGAAGAGACGGATCACGTTTTGTTCTAGGACATTAAATCCATCAGCAGTGACCCCCCTGGTGATTTCTGAAGAGTTCACGTGTCTGAAAAACGATGGTTGTTACCAAGTGGCTGAATAGGACTACAGAAGTTGTGGAGGTCGTTGTACGTCATTACGCCGAACACGTGAACACTCCTCTAAATTAGTTTGCCCTGTTCTGCTTGAAAGCAAGTCCCTGCCTCCTGCTAACTGTTCAAACAAACGCTTCAACTCTTACCATTTAGAATCTGTATGTTTGAATATGGATCTGAAGTTGGCGTGGCGTTGAAGCAGCGACCCTGCTGTAGTTCCTTTATAGCATAACGTTAGCATTTTGCTTCTAGCGAAAATTATAAAAGTAGAGTAGACATGTGGAGATTATCCGGCTGAACAAAACGTGACCCGTCTCTTCAATGTGTCTCAACCACAGACCTTAGTTCCACCTATTTTCCTAAATCCTATGGAGAAATCTCATTGCGTTTTTGTCGAAGGAACCGGACGGAGTTTACTTCCGGGTTTTAGGACGCGTCACTGTGGCTCTCTATTCATGGGTAAATGGACTTTGATTTGCACCACTGATTACATAATAAACCTAGCATGGAGATAGAGAGAGAGATGGGTGAACTGATCCTTTAAAAGTGTTCAAATCTACCGTACATGTGATGAGAGACCGTCCTCACCTATCTCCTCCTTGCAGCTCTCGATCTCCGTCTGCAGCGTCTCCTCCAGGTTCTCCTTCAGACATTGCTCCGCCTGGTTCTGCTCCTTCAGGAACAGAATCTCCGCCTTCAGCTTCTCCTCCATGTGATCAGCTGACGTCCGTAACGCCACCACGTCTTCTCGAAACCGCACCACCAGGCCGTGAAGCTCCTGAGGAAGAAATTAAATAACATTACAGGCTTTAATTATCATTATAAAAGCACAATGTGTTTCAGACGGAGACAATAGACAAGGACAGAGCTGGGACTTCATTTTGCATTCATAGTATTCTGTACAATTGCACCTTTTATTTATTTCATTTTGTATTATTTGCACTTGGTTCTTCTTTGTGCTCCACACACACTTCTCTTGGGATAAATAAAGTCTCATCTATGTCTCATTTTGTATTTTAAAGTTATGTGAAGGCCTGGAAAGTGTGCGATGCAGATGACCACATTTCCCCCATCATGGCTTCGCTCCATTGGCTGCCAATACATTTTAGGATTCATTTCAAAATACTTTTATTTACTTTTAAATCCCCCCATGACCCCACCATATCTGTCTGAGCTGCTGCACCCTTACACGCCCAACCGCCCTCTCAGGTCAGCGGATCAACTGCTCCTGAACGTGCCCAGAACCAGGTCAAAGCTCATGGGGGGGCAAACTCAAGGCCCGGGGGCCAAATCAGGCCCTTAGTGGATTTAATTCGGCCCGCAGGATAATTTCTAATTACTATTAGATCTGGCCCGCCGGTATATTGCACGCACACCTTCACTCCATCCTGAGGGTCTCCTCAGCTCAGAGCCTGACCCCAAACATTGATGAACTTGTACCCAAGATGAGATGCCAAGTATCTGAGCTAGCATCACAGAGCAGCACACTGAGTTTACATGGATGTTTCCTTCTGTACTTTTTCTCTCACGACAACAGAGCATGCTTGGTTTGTTCTTTGAGGGAAATAGTTTTTTTGAAGCTGTTGTTGGCCAATCTGAGATTTTATTTAACTCCAGCTCTCGACACAGGTTGGGGAAAGCCCCGTGAGCTTCTCGCTGTAGAGTGAACATGGAACGCACACGCTATTTGTTGTTTGTTTATATCACGCAGTCTGTTCTTCTTCTCTCGGTTATCACGCAGTCTGTCTTCCGGTTGTTGCCTCTTTTGAATGACGAATACACACTACCATTTTAATAATGCAACCCCATTAAGTAAACCCCCAGTTTAGATAAAGTGATGGTAACTTAATCACAAAGTACTTGCTACTTTACACACAATAAGAATATCTGATGCAACAAAATCCAAACTTTATTCAAATTCCAATAGTAATTGAAGATAAGATAATCTAAAATGTACTTTAATAATCCCAATTTTGATGTTTTTTTAGTTGCATCAGCTTAAAACATAAAAGGAAGAATAGGTAATTACACTGCCTTGTATTAACATTATAATGCTTCAGTGGGTGATGCAGATTTAAATGTTATGTGAGCAGCTTGTTTGAACCACCAACAGTGATTTAGTGGAGGTGGAGAAACACGGATGATGAGCCTCATCATCCGTGTTTCTCCACCTCCACTAAATCACTGCCCACTCTCACAGATTCACATCCAGAGCACCATTCAGCGAGCGGTGAACAGTGTGGGAGGGTTAAGAGTGTGTTGGAGAGCACACTCAATTACAAAGAAAGGATCATCTTCTCACGCTGTCCCAAAATCACATGTGTAGTGGAGGCATCAAGGCTTTTAAAAGTCCGACAGCTGTCATATACTCATATGTGACTTGCTCCATCGAAATCAGTCGCATTGACCCGAAGAAACATTTTGAGTTGTATACACTGTTGGAAAGAGGAGATTCATAGCTTTCTAATGATATCAGGATTGTTGTTGTACTCCAAATATTAAGCTAAATATGTCACATTATATAATGACTGTTACCGAGTCATCATTTTGAGAAAAAGGCCTTCAAAGTTTCCTCTTCTCTGGAATCCATCGATCTGATTGGTTATTAGCAAATGATCAAAATACTACGGAGGGAAGATATTTTCATTTTGGATTACTGGTCTTGGGGAAGCTCGCGAGTGTGTGTGTGTGTGTGTGTGTGTGTGTGTGTGTGTGTGTGTGTTTGTGTATTTTTGCGTTTGTGTTTGTTTCCCGGGGAAAACACTCAGGAGAAACCCCGGCTGTTGTTACGCCTGCTGTGACGTTAAATTACTCCGTTCTCCGCTTGTAATTATGCCGTCACAAGCTTCAAAGCTGTATTTATCATCTGAGTTTGCCGAAACAAGTTTAATATTCTGAAAGCCAAGACTTTGTTTATTTGAAATCAAACAAAACACCCGAACCCTGAAAAACAATTTTTCTTTTAACGCAAATCCACGTTTATTTTGAAATCAGCCGTTGCGACTTCCGACTGATTTCAATAGAGCGGGTCACATATTTGCATTTTGTAAATATGTCCATCTATGCTTTTAACTAGGGCTGTGCAATTAATCGTATTTTAATCGCAATTACGATTTTGGCCTGCCACAATTACGAAAACAACATAATCGAAAAAAACGATTATTTTGCTTTGCTAGGTTGTGACAGTGCACTGCAACATATTTGATCTCATTTATTTGTATTTATCATATTTATATATATTTAGTAGCTTGTTGAAGTGCGCTCCAACATATTTGTTGATCTTGTTTATTGGTATTTATTATTTTGATATCATTTATTTAAATGTAAATATAAATGTATAATTTTATTTATTTATTTTTGTATTGGTTTTTCAGTTGAATTATACGTTCAGGGAAATCAACAGTTAAAAAGATACTGTTCAAATTATTATTTGTATTTCAAAGTTCAATAAAGGGATGTTTTCAAAGTCAATGAATAATCGTATTTAATAATCGTGATATCAATTATTGACCAAAATAATCGTGATTATGATTTTTGCCATAATCGCACAGCCCTACTTTTAAGGTTCTCATGCGATAACCACTTCCTCGTAAAAGCCTTTTTTACCGGCAACAAGCAATGTGTTTAATAATGATGTCTCTTTCGTTCATTCTTGAGGTATGAGTCTCCATGACGATTTCAAGTCTTTTTTGTAAGGCATTTTGCTCCCTCTTCAAAAATCTAATATACCAGAACAATCGTAGAAAACATGGACATCATTTGCATTTAGATTCCCACAGTTTCTCCAGCAGTGTGACGTTTATTTGTCGAGCACTGAAGTGCCTCGTGTTGAAATGTACATAACAACTTAATGACACCCGCACTTTTTGAAGATGTTTCACAATAAAAGTCTTAAGGTGGAATAAAAGATCTGCGTGCTGCACGAAAATCTCCTGATAAATATCCACAAGAACCACATTTACTAAATACAAGCACCCTTGATGAGCATTAGGATGTGATTTAACACTTTTAGATACACGTTTTGGTCTGTTGAAAGACCATTAGTACATATATTGGTCTGTTGAAAGACAATTAGTACATATATTGGTCTGTTGAAAGACTATTTTCACATATATTGGTCTGTTGAAAGACTATTTTCACACATATTGGTCTGTTGAAAGACCGTTTTTACACATTTTGGTCTGTTGAAAGACAATTTGTACATATATTGGTCTGTTGAAAGACCATTAGTACATATATTGGTCTGTTGAAAGACTATTTTCACACATATTGGTCTGTTGAAAGACAATTTGTACATATATTGGTCTGTTGAAAGACAATTTGTACATATATTGGTCTGTTGAAAGACAATTTGTACACATTTTGGTCTGTTGAAAGACAATTTGTACATATATTGGTCTGTTGAAAGACCATTAGTACATATATTGGTCTGTTGAAAGACAATTTGTACATATATTGGTCTGTTGAAAGACAATTTGTACATATATTGGTCTGTTGAAAGACTATTTTCACATATATTGGTCTGTTGAAAGACTATTTTCACATATATTGGTCTGTTGAAAGACAATTTGTACATATATTAGTCTGTTGAAAGACTATTGTTACATATATTGGTCTGTTGAAAGACAATTTGTACATATATTAGTCTGTTGAAAGACTATTTTCACATATATTGGTCTGTTGAAAGACCGTTTTTACACATTTTGGTCTGTTGAAAGACAATTTGTACACATATTTGTCTGTTGAAAGACTATTTTCACATATATTGGTCTGTTGAAAGACCGTTTTTACACATTTTGGTCTGTTGAAAGACTATTTTCACATATATTGGTCTGTTGAAAGACCGTTTTTACACATTTTGGTCTGTTGAAAGACTATTTTCACATATATTGGTCTGTTGAAAGACAATTTGTACATATATTAGTCTGTTGAAAGACTATTGTTACATATATTGGTCTGTTGAAAGACAATTTGTACACATATTTGTCTGTTGAAAGACTATTTTCACATATATTAGTCTGTTGAAAGACAATTTGTACACATTTTGGTCTGTTGAAAGACTATTTTCACACATTTTGGTCTGTTGAAAGACTATTTTCACATATATTGGTCTGTTGAAAGACTATTTTCACATATATTGGTCTGTTGAAAGACAATTTGTACATATATTAGTCTGTTGAAAGACTATTGTTACATATATTGGTCTGTTGAAAGACAATTTGTACACATATTTGTCTGTTGAAAGACTATTTTCACATATATTGGTCTGTTGAAAGACAATTTGTACACATATTTGTCTGTTGAAAGACTATTTTCACATATATTGGTCTGTTGAAAGACTATTTTCACATATATTGGTCTATTGAAAGACCGTTTTCACATATATTGGTCTGTTGAAAGACTATTTTCACATATTTTGGTCTGTTGAAAGACTATTTTCACATATTTTGGTCTGTTGAAAGACTATTTTCACATATTTTGGTCTGTTGAAAGACAACGTTGAGCCCTACTTCCTATACGATGTTAAATTGTGTGTTATCTTCCGTACTTGCACAGTGTTGGGCATCTGGAAGTCCTCCTGCTGCTGCAGCTCCTCATGCAGCCGGTGTGTCCCCTGCAGGTTCTCGTTGTCTCTCTGCAGACGGCTCAGCTCGTCGGCCACCTGCTCCCTTGACTTCCCCAGCACCGCCTGAAACCAACAAACCAACAAATCAAATAAATAAATCCCTGCAGCTCATCGTGTCTCTGCTCGTTCCCCTTTTTTGCCACAGGCCATAGGACTGTTAAAGACACACAGGCGCTTGGGTAACCCGTGTGCTTTTATTTTATTATTTATCTATTTCATCCTATGTTTTTATTGTGTTTTTACTGTGTATTGTGTTTTCAGCACTTCTTAACACGTGGCTTGTGTGGTCATTTATTCTTTTATGATTCCTATGATGTTTTGTCGACCACATTTGACTTACTTAAACACCTGAACTTTTGAAAGAACATCATAACATAACATTCACCCGTTTGCAACTCACTAATTATTTATCACTTGTATATAGACTCTTATGGCACTACTTATCACTACTAGATGAAGATTATGGGGGTTAAAAAACACCCATCTCTCCAAAACATATACGAGCAGTCGATTATCAGACAGGCAAAACAAATGGTGTCTGATCCCACCCACATACTCCACCCAGAATTCCAGCTCCTACCTTCTGGTAGAAGATTCAGGGTTCCTAGGAGCAGGCTGAACCGCTATAAGCACTCATTCCTACCTATGTCCATTAAGCTTCTTAACATTCACATGAAATGATATGTAGTCAAATGTACTTTTTAAATGTTGGCCATGAGGGTTGTGCAATAGGTCGCCATTGTCAGTATGTATATATAGCGGTGTATTGTGTTTGTTCAAACGGTGTATGACTGATATGTGTATGTCTCTTAATGTCCACTATGTTTGTATATGTACATGGATGCACTGCAGGATGGAGTCCAGAACAAATTTCCTTACGGGGACAATAAAGTATATCGTATCGTATCGTATCGTACTTCCATTCTATTTTATTGTATTTACTTGCACTATTTTATTGTATTTATTGTGTTGCACTGTTGGAGGAGCCTGGGACCTCAGATCTACACTGTAGCTATTGGTGTCACTATTCATGTTTTATTGTTTTAACATATTTATATAGTTTTCTAAACAGCATATAGTTATTCTATCAGAGCATGTATCAAAAGCAGGTAGTAGACACACAGACAGGAGACACACATACAGGAGACACACAGACAGGAGACACACAGACAGTAGACACACAGACAGGAGACACACAGACAGTAGACTCACAGACAGGAGACACACAGACAGGAGACACACAGACAGGAGACACACAGACAGTAGACACACAGACAGGAGACACACAGACAGGAGACACACAGACAGTAGACACACAGACAGGAGACACACAGACAGGAGACACACAGACAGTAGACACACAGACAGGAGACACACAGACAGGAGACACACAGACAGTAGACACACAGACAGGAGACACACAGACAGAAGACACACAGACAGGAGACACACAGACAGGAGACACACAGACAGGAGACACACAGACAGGAGACACACAGACAGGAGACACACAGACAGTAGACACACAGACAGAAGACACACAGACAGGAGACACACAGACAGGAGACACACAGACAGGAGACACACAGACAGGAGACACACAGACAGAGACACACAGACAGTAGACACACAGACAGAAGACACACAGACAGGAGACACACAGACAGGAGACACACAGACAGACACACAGACAGGAGACACACAGACAGGAGACACACAGACACACAGACAGGAGACACACAGACAGGAGACACACAGACAGGAGACACACAGACAGGAGACACACAGACAGGAGACACACAGACAGGAGACACACAGACAGTAGACACACAGACAGGAGACACACAGACAGGAGACACACAGACAGTAGACACACAGACAGGAGACACACAGACAGGAGACACACAGACAGTAGACACACAGACAGGAGACACACAGACAGGAGACACACAGACAGTAGACACACAGACAGGAGACACACAGACAGAAGACACACAGACAGGAGACACACAGACAGGAGACACACAGACAGGAGACACACAGACAGGAGACACACAGACAGTAGACACACAGACAGTAGACACACAGACAGGAGACACACAGACAGGAGACACACAGACAGAAGACACACAGACAGGAGACACACAGACAGGAGACACACAGACAGGAGACACACAGACAGGAGACACACAGACACACAGACAGGAGACACACAGACAGGAGACACACAGACAGGAGACACACAGACAGAAGACACACAGACAGGAGACACACAGACAGGAGACACACAGACAGGAGACACACAGACAGGAGACACACAGACAGGAGACACACAGACAGAAGACACACAGACACACAGACAGGAGACACACAGACAGTAGACACACAGACAGAAGACACACAGACAGGAGACACACAGACAGGAGACACACAGACAGGAGACACACAGACAGACACACAGACAGGAGACACACAGACAGGAGACACACAGACAGGAGACACACAGACAGGAGACACACAGACACACAGACAGGAGACACACAGACAGGAGACACACAGACACACAGACAGGAGACACACAGACAGGAGACACACAGACAGGAGACACACAGACAGAAGACACACAGACAGGAGGACAACACAGACAGGAAGACACACAGACAGGAGACACACAGACAGGAGACACACAGACAGGAGACACACAGACAGGAGACACACAGACAGGAGACACACAGACAGGAGACACACAGACAGGAGACACACAGACAGGAGACACACAGACAGTAGACACACAGACAGAAGACACACAGACAGGAGACACACAGACAGAAGACACACAGACAGGAGACACACAGACAGGAGACACACAGACAGAAGACACACAGACAGAAGACACACAGACAGGAGACACACAGACAGGAGACACACAGACAGGAGACACACAGACAGGAGACACACAGACAGTAGACACACAGACAGGAGACACACAGACAGTAGACACACAGACAGAAGACACACAGACAGGAGACACACAGACAGGAGACACACAGACAGGAGACACACAGACAGACACACAGACAGGAGACACACAGACAGCAGACACACAGACAGGAGACACACAGACAGGAGACACACAGACACACAGACAGGAGACACACAGACAGGAGACACACAGACAGAAGACACACAGACAGGAGACACACAGACAGGAGACACACAGACAGGAGACACACAGACAGGAGACACACAGACAGAAGACACACAGACAGGAGACACACAGACAGGAGACACACAGACAGGAGACACACAGACAGGAGACACACAGACAGGAGACACACAGACAGGAGACACACAGACAGGAGACACACAGACAGAAGACACACAGACAGAAGACACACAGACAGGAGACACACAGACAGAAGACACACAGACAGAAGACACACAGACAGGAGACACACAGACAGGAGACACACAGACAGAAGACACACAGACAGGAGACACACAGACAGGAGACACACAGACACACAGACAGAAGACACACAGACAGTAGACACACAGACAGTAGACACACAGACAGGAGACACACAGACACACAGACAGGAGACACACAGACAGTAGACACACAGACAGGAGACACACAGACAGAAGACACACAGACAGAAGACACACAGACAGGAGACACACAGACAGGAGACACACAGACACACAGACAGGAGACACACAGACAGTAGACACACAGACAGGAGACACACAGACAGGAGACACACAGACAGGAGACACACAGACAGGAAGACACACAGACAGGAGACACACAGACAGAGACACAGCAGGAGACACCGACACACAGACAGGAGACACCAGCAGGAGACACACAGACAGAAGACACACAGACAGGAGACACACAGACAGGAGACACACAGACAGAGACAGGAGACACACAGACAGAAGACACACAGACAGGAGACACAACAGGACAGAGACACACAGACAGGAGACACACAGACAGGAGACCACACAGACACACAGACAGGAGACACACAGACAGTGACACACGACAGGAGACACACAGACAGGAGACACACAGACAGGAGACACAACACAGACAGAAGACACACAGACAGGAGACACACAGACAGGAGACACACAGACAGGAGACACACAGACACACAGACAGAAGACACACAGACAGAAGACACACAGACAGGAGACACACAGACAGGAGACACACAGACAGTAGACACACAGACAGAAGACACACAGACAGGAGACACACAGACAGGAGACACACAGACAGAAGACACACAGACAGGAGACACACAGACAGAGGACACACAGACAGGAGACACAACAGACAGGAGACACACAGACAGGAGACACACAGACAGGAGACACACAGACAGGAGACACACAGACAGTAGACACACAGACAGGAGACACACAGACAGTAGACACACAGACAGGAGACACACAGACAGGAGACACACAGACAGAAGACACACAGACAGAAGACACACAGACAGGAGACACACAGACAGGAGACACACAGACAGGAGACACACAGACAGGAGACACACAGACAGGAGACACACAGACAGTAGACACACAGACAGAAGACACACAGACAGGAGACACACAGACAGGAGACACACAGACAGGAGACACACAGACAGAAGACACACAGACAGGAGACACACAGACAGGAGACACACAGACAGAAGACACACAGACAGGAGACACACAGACAGGAGACACACAGACAGGAGACACACAGACAGGAGACACACAGACAGGAGACACACAGACAGGAGACACACAGGAGACACACAGACAGGAGACACACAGACAGAAGAGACACACAGACAGGAGACACACAGACAGGAGACACACAGACAGGAGACACACAGACAGGAGACACACAGACAGGAGACACACAGACAGGAGACACACAGACAGGAGACACACAGACAGGAGACACACAGACAGGAGACACAGAGACAGGAGACACAGAGACAGGAGACACACAGACAGGAGACACACAGACAGGAGACACACAGACAGGAGACACACAGACAGGAGACACACAGACAGGAGACACACAGACAGGAGACACACAGACAAAAAATAAGCAAATAAATAAATAGAAAACCAGTCAGCTAAAACAAAAATGTCAATAATAAACAATAAATGTCAGTACGGCAGGTTTTAACATATTTTAATTATGTTCCTCACTTGCTATTGTTATTTTCTGTCATACTCTGTAAAGCACTTTGGGCTGCGTCAAGCATGAAAGGTGCTATATAAATAAAGTGTATTATTATTATATTAGTATCTGATTGTCCCTGCAGAGAGACTTGCTCACACTTTGCCTGTTTTGTAAATCTCGTTTAAAGACCTTCTTGTTCTCCCGTGCTTTTGCAGACCACGTATAAGACGTATCAGTCTGTGTTTTCTAAATTGGCGTTTTCTATTTAGTTGTGTTTTAAAATGTTTTTACATCATGTATGAGGGTTTTCAGGGTGTTTCTCAATGTCGAGGACGCTTCCTTGGTAGCACATGTCTTCCGAGTCAGGTCCTTCAGAAGCGAGGCAAGAATCCTTCCTAGCCTCGGACAACGAAGAATGGTGGAACAGGTGTGCGTCATACGCGAGGCCCCGCCTTAAAGGGAGCGCTATTTGAAATTGGTCCGTGCGCAAAGCATTGTGGGGATTTTAAGACCGCGGAGGATACACATGTGCAGCCTCGAAATTTCCCGCAACGAAGGACGCCGGCCTCGGAAGAATTCCAAGTATGCTGGACACAGAGGGTGTTTCTCAATCGCGAGTAAAGCTGCTTCAGAGCCACTATTTCAAGCATACTACGTCATCGAGTGCCGCCGAAGTACTGTTCCAATCTCCAGCATACTTGGAAATCTACCGAGCCCGGCGTACTCAGTTTGGAGAAATATCGAGGCTGCACATGAGTAGACTCCGCGGTCTTAAAATCCCCACAATGCTTTGCGCACGGACCAATTTCCCCAAATCTGTGGCGGAAGATGTAAGAGGCGGGGCCTCTCATATGACGCACACCTGCACACTTGCTAGCCTGTTCCACTCTTCGTTTTCCAAATGTCAGGAAGTATTCTTGACTCGCTTCTGAAACAAGTGACTCGGAAGACATGTGCTACCAAGCAAGCGTACTCGCGATTGAGAAACACCCAGAGACAGTCCTTCGGCGGGACTCGATGACGTAGCATCCTTGAAATAGTGGCTCTGGAGGAGCCTTCCTCGACATTGAGAAACACCCTCAGTCTGTGGCTATAAGTATGGTTTTATGGTCTCATGCTTTTACATTAGTTTCTTTTTGTCCTATCGGTGTTTGACTAAATGTATGTACCGGTATATGCTTTTTTAATATATTTATTGATGTACAGCACTTTGGTCAACTCTGTTGTTTTTGAATGTGCTATATAAATAAAGTTGGATTGGATTGGGTGTATCGTTCTGACTCGATGCATGACAGTATTAATGTTTTTAAATCAAATCAAAGCCACATGCAGCAGCAGCAGGAAGGTCTCGTGTTTTCTGGCAGGAGAGTTAGTCTGCACCGGGTTAGAGATCCCGCTGCAGCTGCACATTCATTATTGAGAACGTTTCTCACTTCCTTCCTTCCTTCCTGTTTTTCCCTCACAATGATGGGCTAGAAATAATAAGTGCACTTACTTTACTTAGCCGTGCATATTGCATTTTTCAATCTGTAGGATTTGTCGTGGTGGAGGAGCAATGTTTGGGCTTATTAAATGTAATCTTTGTAAGTGATTAAATCCTGTAGCCTAGAGGGAATATTTGTGGTAGGGAGGAACAGTTCAATCTCAAAAAGCTGGTAACTTTTACCCCAAAAAGTCAATATTGTGTCTATCTTCCTCCATTAGAGAGAACATCTAAAAGACAACATGGATGACTTATATATTTTGTGATATGCGTCTAAAATGTTAAGATATAATTATTTATTGGTATTTTCTCAATGCATTCTTTTGTTTATACTTAGTTTACCTAGCAACACATATGGCAATTTTACTCATATATATACATTTATGGCACTTTATCAAACTTTAATCCTAACAATATATTTATTATCTTGTTTTCCCCGTCATAAAATCATGAAAAGCACCACTGTGAATGTTGTGTTTAACTCATGCACTTATAAGTACCCTGGAAATGAGTTATTAATCATGGAAAAAGCATGAAAAAGGTCTATAAACTGCACTGTAACTTTTAACTTTTATCCATGTATTTTTTCTTTTAATGTTTATTTTATTATCTTTTCTTTTTAATGACTGATTTTAAATGCCATTTTCATAATGTCTTCCATTTTTGTAAAGCACTTTGAATAGCCTTGTGTTGAAAGGTGCTATATAAATAAACTTGCCTTGCCTTGCCTTGCCTATAGGCTAATGAAGCAACTAATTGGTCAACTTATCGACAACCAGGGGTCAGCCCTAACATTGGCTTTACTGAAAATCTGTGTTTTAAAATGAGTATTTAGAATATATGATTGCCATTTTCACAATGTATTAAAAAGTCAGTGTTTACCAGAGATACACATACATTTCTTGAAAATAAGCTAAAAAAAACTTCAGAAATGTGTAAATAACGTACGTTTTACACCTACTTTTTTTTTATCAGTGATGTACAGTGTATACATTTGTTAATTTCTGTTGTGGTTAATGAGCAATGTTTGGACAGTTTTACAAGGAATCTCCTCCAACAGCGTTCTATCTGTGTGATAAGAAGCAACAGAGAGGCAGAGAAAAGTAAATCCAAACCTACTAAAACAAGCTTCAAATGAGTCTGGCTGCATGTCAGATAACAGCACAGGAGCCTGTTGTCAAAACAAAAACCTGATATGCTTTTTATGAGAGCTTCAACCTCGCCAACATTATCAGACTCTGACATTAGGGAGGAACTGGAGATCCAAACACAGCTGGCGAGAACAAGCAACAACGAGGCGGGGAGAAGACGCTGCTCACCATCTGCTGCTGTGTGTTCCTCTTAGCGTCACTGAAGGCCTGCTGCAGCGCGCACAGCAACGTCTCCGAATCCTGCACCCGCTGCACGAGGGCGGACACCTACAACACAGACAATAACATCGCTAAAATAAGAAAAAGGCTTTAAAAAAGGTCTGGGATTAAAGATAGGAATACTCAAGAGGTGGAAGAAGTCTTGTTCAAATAAGAAAAAGCCTTAAAAAAGGTCTGAGATGTCCGATCACCTACTTGCTGTGTTTTGAAGGTGTGCTTTACTTAACCCTGTAGTAAGACCAAATAAACCGAACTTCATTTGTAAATGGAAGAATCATAGACCTAGAATTTAAAAGGTGGCCCAAAGACCCTGATAGTGTGATGCAACCCTGATAGTGTGATGCAACCCCGATAGTGTGATGCAACCCCGATAGTGTGATGTAACCCCGATAGTGTGATGTAACCCCGATAGTGTGATGCAACCCGATAGTGTGATGTAACCCCGATAGTGTGATGTAACCCCGATAGTGTGATGCAACCCCGATAGTGTGATGCAACCCCGATAGTGTGATGCAACCCCGATAGTGTGATGCAACCCCGATAGTGTGATGTAAGTGTGATGTAACCCCGATAGTGTGATGTAACCCCGATAGTGTGATGCAACCCCGATAGTGTGATGTAACCCTGAGTGTGATGCAACCCCGATAGTGTGATGCAACCCCGATAGTGTGATGCAACCCCGATAGTGTGATGCAACCCCGATAGTGTGATGTAACCCCGATAGTGTGATGCAACCCCGATAGTGTGATGTAACCCTGAGTGTGATGCAACCCCGATAGTGTGATGCAACCCCGATAGTGTGATGTAACCCCGATAGTGTGATGCAACCCCGATAGTGTGATGCAACCCCGATAGTGTGATGCAACCCCGATGCAACCCCGACCCGATAGTGTGATGCAACCCCGATAGTGTGATGTAAGCCCGATAGTGTGATGCAACCCTGAGTGTGATGTAACCCTGCCTTTGTTAGCCCTACACGCTAAATATGTATATGTCCGGCAGTGGCTCAGTCAGTAGGGGCTTGGACTGGGAGCTGTAGGGTCGCCGGTTCAAGTCCCCGACCAGACCTAAAATATGGAGTGTGGACTGCTACTTGGAGAGGTCCCAGTTCACCTCCTGCCCTGCCGTGGTGACCTTGAGCAAGGCACCGGACACCCATACTTAAAGTACTTACTCATTATGCAGCTCTAACATTAAATACATGGAGTGGAGGAAACTAGTACAATAGTTGCCTCTCAGATGAATTGGAGAAGTAAAAAGTCCCAAAATATGGAAATAATCAGAAACAATATTCCGTGTTTGAAGCATGGAGAGAGCTACAACTGCATTTTATGTGCAATCATGATTTGTATAAGAACTTAAAGTGGACCTATCATGCTATATTATAATAATATAGTATAGGACCATACCTATATAAGGCATATTTATACTTTTTTTTTTTCAAAATACCAAACAGATCATGCATTTTAGCCATGCCTCATTTTGCTCAATTTGACATTTTTTAGCTCTGTGTTAGCAAGGGCAGATTCAGTGAGAACAGCACCATCTACAGGCCTGGCATATGTACTACAGCGTCTCCAGCGCTTTCGAACGGCAATGGCCGTGGCTGTCTCCTCCTGATTGGTGGAGTTGGCCCCAATAGCCGTAGCGCCACCGTCCTGACGTCAGGACAGTGTTCAAATCTGGATCAGTTTTTATCAGATCCGTTGCAGCCCCTTTTTTAGAGATTTGGGTATGGAGGAAAATAGAGAGGGTTGTGTTTTCTGACACTTGGTGAGTTCCCTGGAACACCGGGGACACATATTCATGTAGAAAAGACGTACACAAGTGCATTTTGCATGATAGGTCCCCTTTAAGCTGCGAAAATTAGTCAAATATTAGTTGCTATAATTGCCAAGTATTTAAAAAAATCCCAAATTAATGTTTTAAATCAGATCAAAGTAAGTATCTCTAGGTCTCTGCGTGCTCGCTTACTCCTAAAGTTGATTTAAAACGGGAGGGTCAACAATGATCATCATCATCATCATCATCATCATCATCATCATCATGCATGTATTTCCCAGTGTTTTTTAATGCATTCCCTGTGTCCAAACCTTAGCAGCAGTTTCCTCGTTGCCCACTTTGACCGAGTCTTCCAGAGTCTGTTTCTCCGTCATCGTTCTCTCCAGATGATCGTTGGCCTGACGCAGCATCACCTGCAGCTTCTTCACCTGCAGGACACAAAGACGGAAAAATTACGTGATGAACATTTTGACGCTCGAGTTATCTTACAAAGCATCAGCCAAATCTAATATATCTTCCTCTTGTTTGTTTGTATATGTTTAAAGGTTGAATGCAGCTGTGTGTAGTCTATCTTTTAAACTGATTTTCACACTGTCTCTTTGCTGAAATCCACACATCACAAAGCTCCTTAAAACCTCCCTGGTTGTATTTTCTTGTAGTAAATAAAGGAAATAAGGTGACAGTGAAGACACAAACCTGGTCTCGAGTGTCGGCCTCTTGTCCCTGGATGGCCTGCAGCTGCTTCTCGTAGTTTGAGCACATGTCACAGCGTCTGCCAAGCTGCCTGCCAGCATTTTTCACCTAGTGACCACAAACACACCATGAAACAACTTTAAAAATACCTATCTGGTTATGTAAAAGTAATCTTGGGTCATTCAAACTCTCTCTTGTGCTGCTGTGTTTATTGTAACTATGGCACAACAATTTCTTTCGGGATAAATAAAGTCCTATCTTATCTTATCTCTCTTAGACCCCGTTTACATGGAGACGGTTCGGGTTGTATCTGCTACTTCTTTCTATCGTATAGAGTACGGTTCGTTCACACGAGGCCGTGATGGAACCGCGGAAACAGACCCCTCAAACGATAACGGGTCCCAAGGTGGGTAGATCTGCGGACGGAACGCTCTGGGGGGTCAAGCGGCTCCGTGTGTGTACGCCCGATACGCCATAGCCCCGCCTCTCCCCACATCTCCTTGCTGATGTGCTTTGCCAACAACAACAAGCTAGATCTGATCGATATGGACATAAACGCGAGTGAAGTTTAATCGGACAGGAGAGAGAGATCAGAGATCAGCTGCTGCTGTCGGAGACACGCAGCTCTGCATGATCACCTGCAGCTCTGCGTGATCACCTGCAGCTCTGCGTGATCACCTGCAGCTCTGCGTGATCACCTGCAGCTCTGCGTGATCACCTGCAGCTCTGCGTGATCACCTGCAGCTCTGCGTGATCACCTGCAGCTCCGCGTGATCACCTGCAGCTCCGCGTGATCACCTGCAGCTCTGCGTGATCACCTGCAGCTCTACGTGATCACCTGCAGCTCTGCGTGATCACCTGCAACTCTGCGTGATCACCTGCAGCTCTGCGTGATCACCTGCAGCTCCGCGTGATCACCTGCAGCTCTGCGTGATCACCTGCAGCTCTACGTGATCACCTGCAGCTCCGCCCGCTGTGATGGAGCGATGAGCGGAACAAAACACACACTTCAAGTTAGATCATCACTCTTAGCTATTTTAATTACCTCTCAAACTACCTAAACTAGTTATAAATATGTTTATTTTTACTGTCGGGTCACTCATTACTGGATCAGTTGCATGAGATACTGACGGGCTGTCAGGAGAGGGGGAGGAAAAGAGAGACTCCGTTTATTATTCTTATATTATTATATAGAGTCGTTATCAATTTGTTTTAAAGCTCAATAAATAACAAAGAAGACCTCTGACCGGCACTTTTCTAATTTTGTCCGGAAGATTTCAACTTTAATGTTGACCGGCGAAAAAAACAGAAGGGCAACCAGGCAACCATGGCAACCATGCTTGGGAGGTCTTCTTCGCTGCTTTTGGTGTATTTTGTGGCCGAAGTACAGCGCCACTTACAGGCCCGGCATATGTACTACAGCGTCTCCAGCGGGTCGAGCGGTCTCGTGTGGACGGACACGTTTATTGAGCCGATTGCGTGTGGACGGAAGACTTTTTTGATATCCGTGTAAATGGGGCCTTAAACTCATCCTCGTCAACCCACCTCTTGCTGCAGCAAACACACCATGAAACAACTTTAACAATAATTATCTAGGAGTGTAAAATAAATCTTGGGTCTGGCATTTTGACGATTTATTTAGATCAGGGGTGTCAACACTTTTTTCACCGAGGGCCACATACAGAAAGACATACGAAGGGCTGAGCCACTTATAGAGGTGAGGTATATCGCCTCGTAAGTTAAGTTATTACATTATTACATGCTACTTGTTAGACGCTTTTATCCAAAGCGACTTACATACTCAATACTGTGGACAATCCCCACAGGAGCAATTTGGGGTGAAGTGTCTCAGGGACACAACGACATGCTGACTGCAGTGGGGTTTGAACCTGTGACCCCTTGATCCCAACACCAAGGCTCTATCCACTGCACCACACGCGCCTCAAGTTATAAGTTAGCAACATGTAGGTAAATAGGCTCGATACATGAATATGCTTTAAAAAAACAACAGCCTACATCACAGCTCTCTATAGGGTTTCATGTATTGTGTTTGCAGCTCATATAATCATCGATAAGGGGAAATATGAAGGGTGTATTTCAAGCTTGTTATGTAAATAAGTCATTGGGCCTTTTCTTTTATCAACTAAGATTTGTTAGAAAATGTTCTCAACATGAATTGACTGAATTTATTTTAAAAGTGGGTCTTATTAACACATGAATACTACTGTGTAATATATTTGTACATATATATTTAAGAAGTACAATATAAGAAAAGCACAAGTTTCATTTGTGGGCCATTTTTCATTATACTTTTTCTATAATGAATTTTCTGAGGGCCGATTCAAAATCGTAGTTTGGACACCCCTGATTTCGTGCATTAATAAGTGAAATGTCTGTCTTCTCCCAACACTAGTGAAAACACACCCACCTCTTGCTGCAGGAGGTTCCACTCGCTGTCGCTGACGAGCCTGTACCCCCCCGGCGGCAGATAAGCGTTGTCGGGGGCGTGGGAGATGCTGGAGAGCAGCGACGCCGTCTCCTCCTGCTCCGGAGTCATCGCTTTGATGGCTTTCTCCTGGTCTTTAGTGAGCAGGAAGTGGCTGGCCGTCAGCTTCATGGAGCTGATGGACAACGTGTCCCCAAAGCTGCTGTCCATGGCCCCGCAGTCCGCCCCCACCAGGGGTCCGAAGTCAGACTCGTCCAGGTTGCTGGCTGACTTGGCTTTGTGGTTGTGTCCCCCGAGGCCCTGCTGCACGGAGAGAGAGGACCCCAGGCTGTCTGTGGACTGAACTCTCCTCAGATTCTCCTTATAGGGGTCCAGGAGGACGCCTGCCACCACGTCAGTGTCTAAAGAGTGCAGGGAGCCATGGGTGCTGAGGTTAGGCTGGAAGAGAAACAGTAAATATGTTCTTATAGTTTATTTTCATAGATAGATTTGGAGAATGAAACCCTCTTTAAAAAGGTCCCCTATTGTACTGTTCTTCATCAATATATCACAGGTCTCAGATATATACAGAACCTGTCTCTGATTGGCTGAAACACCAAACAGATCATTGCAGCATTACCCATAATCCCCTCTGTTTCAGCCCTGTTTCCAAAGTGCTGATTCTCTGTCTGTTACTTTAGATGAAAATAAGGAGCCCCTCCCCACGCCCCTCTGAGAGACATTTGGTTACAAAGAACTCAATGTTGTTTCATATGATAATAATGCTCATGATATTTAGATTTATCATGTATATATATATTTTACTTTTCTACTGATAAATCTCTTTTTGGAGTTAATCATTCTGCAAAAAGCACAATCTCACTTTTTAAAGTAACTAAAAAGGTGTGAAATATGTCAAGTAGGGTAAAAAAAACAATATTTTACTCTGAAATAAAGTAGAGTAAAGGAGAAAGTGGCATGGTAAGAAAGGAGTCAGGTAAAGTCCAAGTAGCTCAAAATGTGTCCTTAATTATACAGCTGAAGTATATACTTTCCAACCAAGGGTCAGTAGAGTTCAAAGTAGGGCTGCTCGATTATGGCAAAAATCATAAACTCCCTCTGAGCAGGAATGTGGGCATAAGATGAGGTTTGAGTCTGCGTGATCTGCGTGTAGGGAGGGGCAGCAGCCATAGCATTAGCTAGAACTAGCTAGATCTGATGGATTTGGACATAAACGCGAGTGAAGTACCGGACGCGAGAGAGAGAGATCAGCACCTGCAGCTCTGCCCGCTGTGAGGGGCCGGTGAGCGGAGCAAAACACACCTTTAGACCTAACACACTTAGCTATGGCACTGTCGTATACATTGAATTATTCCATTTGATCATATGTAATCAACTAATGCTGCGTTCACACCGGACACGATGTGATGTTTGGGGGCGGCGCGATTACATGTAAAGTCAATGCAGAGACACGGACAGACGCGAATTCGCTCCGACGGCGCGCATGAAGCGGTGGACGCAGCGCGAATCACGTCAAACGCGAGGGTTCAATTTTTTCAACTCGAGCGTCAAATTCACGTGACGCGTTCTCGCGAAAGCCAATCAGCGTTGGGATTCCCTTTGACGTCCCTCTGACGTCCTGCTGTTGATCAGTTGTAAAGATGGAAGAGATGATCGTTGTGGCTGTGAGTGGGTTCCCGGAGATTTACAATACAATGTCCTATATCTACCAGGACCGCAACAAAAAGGAGCTGGCATGGAGGAGAAGAAGAACCCAGACACGGCGTTTGTTGCTACGTTTGTAGGACTTCCACAGAAGGTACAAAGCAACAATAGTTGTTATATCCTCCATAGTCAAGGACAGAAATAACCAAAACGATCTTGTATGGAAGTGTAAACAACCTATATACCATATTCGCATCGCGTCCGGTGTGAACGCAGCATTAGGCACCCCTCCCAAAAAAAAATATATATATATATATATATCTCGATTATTTGGGTCAATAATTGATATCACGATTATTAAAAACGATTATTCATTTACTTTGAATTTCAATCAATTTATTTGAACAGTATGTTTTTAACAGTTGATTACCCTGAACTTTAAGTATAATTCAACTGAAAAAACAATTAAAAAAAAAAATGTAAATACATTTTTTTTTTAATTGAGCAGCCCTAGTTCAAAGTCACAAAAACACATTTCAAATCCTCCCTGCTTTATATTTCTTCCACACCAAGATGCTTCTCTCCATGTGAGGAACAGGAGGACTAACAGGAGGACTAAAGTGTTGTCTGTGTGCAGCTCAAGTTTCCAGAGAGAGGGAATATAATCTGACGTGAGACGATAATGGCTCTCTGTTCTCTCTGAGGGACGTATCTCATTACGTGATGTTTCCTACCTCCCCGACGCTCAGCCCGAGGAGTAAATCCTCCAGAGGCTCCGTGTTGTCTCCAAAATCTTCCTCCTGCAGATCGTTCACCTGGCTCAGCCTCTCCTTCTCATCCTCCTCCTGACATGGAGAGTAAAAAGGTTTTTTTTATCACAAATATGACGTAAAAATGTCCCATATATTAGATTTTCTCCACTTTATTATTAGCTGAAGGTGAGAAAAACAATGCAACACAGTAATACTCAGCCATAAATTGTACTTTTTCAAAGATAATAAGGTTCAGTTTTTATCCATACTTTCAGAGATGTATTCATTTCACTATATTTGTATTATTGAGGCGGTAGTTTGCACTGGTGTATAACTGGATATTATCTGTTTATATAAGCTTGTGTACAATCAAAATGACAAATTACAGATGAGTAAGGACATTTATCATGAGCTGCAACTTGAAATAAAGTAAATAACAAGAAGTCCACATCACCTTTAAATGACAAATGCCCATTCATAATGAAAATGAATGATTTTTAGATTTAGTATAATCAAGGTTCTTACACCTTTTCCAAAGTCAAATTCAAGCACTTTTCAAGCATTTTCAAGGTGCATTTTCAAGCTTTTCAAGCATCTTACAGCTGTTGTAAATTACATATTTATATACACATACTTATACTCAAATGATTATTTCCCTACCTCACATTAAATCAGATGTTCTTTATGCTATAAACAACCAAATGTGTGTTTCATAATAGCATTCTACATGAGGATGAAAAATTAAAAATGTTAGAAAAGAAAACTAAGTTTAATATTTCAAAATGTGTGACCCATCTGTACGTAGACTGGGCATCCCATATAACCTGGCTGAGCCAATATAAAACAATCAGCCAAATAACTTTTCAATATATTATTGATTACTATTTTTGAGGTACTTTTAGGTTGGCAGTAAACACAAGTCAGAGGTAAATGGTGTACTTTTACTCCACTACATGTATTTAATACCTTCAGTTACTTTACAGATGTGGATGAATGATGTGAAATATAATCAAGTGTTAAATCAGACTTTAGTTCCACCTGGAGTAAATCCACAAGCTACCCTGCAGTATACAAAGTCATTCAAACTAGCTGCACCTTTACCAGCTTTGAGAACACTTTCATGATCAATCATTATAAAACATATCATATACAATTATTAGGGATGCTCCGATCGCCAATTTTGGAGCCGATCGCCGGAATCAGTATCGGCCGATACCGCTCTCTTTTCCTCTTTTCCTCTCTCCCCCTCTCTCTCTTTCCTGACAGCCCGTCAGTATCTCCTGCAGCTCACTGATCCAGTAATGAGCGACCCGACAGTGAAGAATAAATATATGTATAACTAGTTTAGCTTGTTCCAGAGGTAGATAAAATAGCTAAGTGTGTTAGGTCTAACTCTTAATGTGTGTTCTGCTCCGCTCACCGGTCCGTCACAGCGGGTGGAGCTGCAGGATTTCTGCTTCACACACACGTTGCATATCGCTATTTTATTGTCATTTTCGGACACTTAAAATACTGCCAGACTAGTGAAGCCATTTTGGCGAGCTTGTTTTGCCGCGCACAGAGAAAAGTGTCATGTATTTTACATGCAACGATAGCCTAATCTAAAATGCTCTACGATGGCGTACCTTTCGTGTGGTGTGTGGCTCGTCAGCGCAGACTCTCGCATCGTTATTGTTGCACACTTTGCAGGAGGCTACTCTTGGGCTTGACCCTAGTCTTAGCCATGGCTTGTATTTGTCTTCTGCTAGCCAACGCTCGTTGAAACGGCAACCTCCTGGCATACTGTCATGACATCTATCACTCTCATCAGAATGCCCAGGTCACACACGTAACAAAAACACTTGCCGGTCACGCGCATTGCGCGGGAAGGCCGGAGCGGAGCTGTTTTATGTAAAAGCGAAGCAATTAAGCGCGCTCCGACTTCTTTATTTTCTTTTAATCTAAAAAGCGAAGTAAAGCATTTACAATTTCAAGCACTTTATCCCAAATTCAAGCACCATTCCCAAAATTCAAGCACTTTTCAAACCTTGAAAACACCTCGTACAATTTCAAGCATTTTCAAGGATTTCCAGCACCCGTACGCACCCTGTATAATGTACCTTAACAAATCTACGCATAAAAATGTCCCATATATTACATTTTCTCCACTTTATTATTAGGTTTAAAGAGCAACTTGCAGGTTAGAGCCCCAGTGAATAAATGTATGTATGCACTAGATTTTCCAAAAGATATACAGAAATATACACTACAGTGACATCTGGCGTCGTTTTTGTAAGACATTTTTACTTCCACATAAAAAAAGACCACCCGCGTGTGACGTCACATGGGGGAGAGCGGCCGGTCTAACGTGTTAATAAACATGGATCACAATGCTAGTTTTGGCACAGAAGAGGTTGAAAATGTATATTCGAATGCATATGACGGACCACAACCTTATAATTATGAGCCTGCTAGGCGTCCAAGAGACCAGGAGCAGCCAAGGATTAGAAGGAATAACGGCCATGGGAGAGAAATGGAGCTGTGGTGTGAGGAGAACCAGTGGAGAACAGGGCAGCTGTCTTGGTGAGTGACCGGCGTTAGCTACAGTTAGCTAACGTCGGTCACATCACAACATTGTAAAGTTAGCTATCATATATCAGGCTATAACTAAAGTAGTATTGATAATATAGTAACGTTACTGGCAGGACTGTTGATACTGATCCATAACAGAAACTAATGCGCAAGTATCAGCCGTATGTCGCGTTACCTAATGCAACTCCACACTACGTCTGACGGTGCTGTGTACCGGAGGGGAGAGAGAGAGAGGAGCGAAGGGGGGGAGAGAGAGAGGGAGCGAAGGGGGGAGAGAGAGAGAGGTGCGAAGGGGGGAGAGAGAGAGAGCAGCGAAGGGGGGGGAGAGAGATGTAATATGGTTTCCTGATAAACGTTTTGTTTGATAGGTGCTTGTGTGGGAAATGCCAGCCCATGGGCCTCTGGAGAGAGTATGTGCTGCATGGGGGTGGATGCACCTCACACAACCTGCAAGTTGCTCTTTAAGTCAGAACAACGATGCAACACAGTAATACTTAGCCATACATTTTACTTTTTCAAAGATAATAAGGTTCAAATTTGATCAATACTTTCAGAGAGGTATTCATTCACTATATTTGTGTTATTGAGGGATCAGTTGCAGTGGTGTTGAACTGGAGTGCATTATATTATCTGTTCATATAAGCTTGTTTGAAGTGTACAATCAAAATGACAAATTACAGATGAATAAGGACATTTATCAAGAAGTCCACATCACCTTAAATGACAAATGCCGTAGTGTGTGTGTGTGTGTGTGTGTGTGTGTGTGGTGTGTGTGTGTGTGTGTGTGTGTGTGTGTGTGTGTGTGTGGTGTGTAGTGTGTGGTGTAAGGTGTGTGTGTATGTGTGTGTAGGTTGTGTGTGTTCAGGCGTGTGTAGTGTGTAGGTGTGGTGTATCGCGGTGTAGGTGTGCGCGTGTGTAGGTGGTAGGTGTG